TTCTAATATAATTTAAATGCTGGCTGGTGTGAATGCAAACAAGCATTACTAAGTTAAACTTTTATGAATAAAAATCATCACTAAAAAATTAGAATTAAATATTTTTCAATCAATACTTTTCTTCTTCACCAATTGGTTTTTTTCAGCTTACAGATAAAAAAAAAAAAACCATAAGGATTGACGTTCAGTTCCCAGAATGTTTTGCATGGGAGTTAAAATTATTAAAAAATAAAGTAATGGAAAAATTAGTTTAATTCGTTTTTATTTATTTATGTTCTTAATTAAAAAATATTCCTTGCAGTAATTTATTTCTTCTTGAACTTACATAGTTTTATGAAGAAGGAACATTAAAGGCAGGTTTCATAACAGAATGTATCTTAATCAATTAAGAGACAGTTATTGTATTTAATTTTGATTTATCATTTTTATCCCCAAAAGTAAAATTCTATGTCATAAACAAACATACATTAGTTAAAAGAAACAAAAACAAAATTTTATCATAACACCTTTTTATTGCAAATAAATTTCAACAAAGAAACTAAATATAACAAACACTTTCAAACCGTAATATCTGAATATAATAAAATAAACATATAAACAATTCAACATATAATTGATGTCTTTTATTTTAAGTCTTTAAAATTAAAATTGAGTATCTAAGTACAGCCTCTTGACTAGGAATATGAAGTTTATATAATTTTAAGAGTTCATTTACATGTACTACACATTTAGAAAGGAGTATAGTACATAATATAATTACATCAATGCTATCACTTATCTATAAAAATAATTAAACAGAAAGGTGATAAAATATAAAGCATATTACAGAATAGAATACAAAATAAAGTTATAAATAAATCAACTTTATAAAAGTCCGAATAATAAATACTCTGAAAATTCAATTATAATACATATAAATTTATTCATTTAATAATCCACAAAAATATAATAGACAATCATTAACAATGTCATGCATCTTTGGCATTACAAAAAAAAAAAAAATTAAGAACATACCGCGAACATGTTTTAGAGACAAACCAACATAATATTATACCGTTGATAACATGTTGGAAATAAAAAATAACTTAATTGAGATAATAAATAGATTTAGATTGATGAGAGTGTAATGAAATTAGGAGATTTTTTTTATTTGAGGCCTCGGTTGTTGAGCATTTTGGGATAGCACCCTGAAACAATTATAAATAGTGCCAGTTCAAATTTGGTCGAGGGAGGATTGAACAGATAAAAATCTCAACCCTCTCACTTGGACTTGGTTGATCAATTCTAGGATAACCTGTAAGTTGACTATATAGCTATCTATAACTGACTTATTTGAAAGTGTTTTATATAATTATAAAACAAACAAACAGTAACCCAGTATACAGATTCTTAATGAATTATGAATTTCAATGGGGATTGGCCCAAAAAAAAATTGTATTCGATACAAGAGTAGAGTTCTTTGTTCTTATACAATATAGTTACATATTGAATAGATAATAAATATTAAAACTAAAAGATGAACCTGATAAAAGTTAAAACTAAATTTAAAAAGAAAAGCTGAAATATTTTGAACTGGTCAATAATTATAGGTTTTAAATTATAAAATTTAATTACCAAGATGTATGCCAGTATAATAATATTAGTAAAAAATGGTAGTTAAATTAGGCTATAATTTGATCTGAAGTTTTGACATAAAAATTTATTAATTTAAACAGACTTATGTCAAGTAATTGTTATAATCCTGTACCCCTCCCCAATGTTTAGATCTAATGAATGCTTGGTGAAATATATATACATAAATACAAAAAAAAAACTTTAAATGTAGCAATGACTAATTTAGAAGCTGGTATTAGGAGGAGGAGATGAAAATTAATACAGATAATAAATCAATTTTGAAATTGGCTATAGTTCCAATGAGTTTACTTAAAAAATATGTCTATGCACTATTGACAGCCATTATAACTATGAAATATTTTAATATGATTGTTGCCTTCATAAATTTATTTTGGTTCATTAATTTTTTCAACAGGATATCAAACATCAAATCTGAAGTTATTTTAGTACATATCATTTAGCTTAATTAGGAATACTTATCATAGTAAGATAGATTATTCATCATTATTTCGCGTAATGAAATATTGAGATTAATTATCAAAAACGTTCTTTCTTAAATAAAATAAAGACATTAAAATTCAGGTAACTAACAATAGTAAAAAAAAAGCCAGTAATATATCATAATAAAAAATAAATAAATAACAAACAAGCCATTAATTATTATTAGAAAATTTGAGATTTCACGGCCTGTCTTGTTTGTACAAAAGCCAGCTGTCCACAGAAAATATACAATAGGATGCAGCTCATTAGGATTTGTTTGTAATAACAACAGCAAATCACATAAAGAGGAAAATAGTTGAGAGTATGTCAGGAATAAGTGACTTAGTTCTAATTAATACACTAGACATCTGACAAATTATCTATCAGAGACCATGATCCCATTTGAATTTCCTACATATATATACGAACAATTTGAATTTGTTCTTAGGATAATAAAATCCTTGTAATTTTTGTTAGTTTAAAGAAACAATTACTGGATGAGGAAACTATATTTTGAACGAAGAAATAAAAATAAAGAAAATTGTCACAAAATGTATCAAACCAATAACAGTAGACAAAAATAACAGTGACTCTAAAAACATCCTTTTACTAAAAGAAATTAAGAAAAGAAGTGAAGAAAGATAAATCCAGTCAAAAATGCATAAACAATTTCAACCCTTTCCTTTTAAATGTGCATGTAGAATTCCACATTGAAATAATTTTAATCTCCTTTTTCAAAGGCTAATATTTGATAAATAATAATGAGTTAATGTAATAACTTATTTAGGTTTTGAATATTGTTTACAGCAAATAATTTAAATTCAAAACTTTGAAAGACCCACATTATTTTTTACTGAGCTATATTTAAATAAACAAATTTCTTACTTTTTAAGTGTTTATTAAAAGAAACACGTTTTATTAACCAAGCTTATTAACCCCCACTGTTTATTTTATTGATCGGTTTAATCAGAGGTTTTACCGTTAAATTTTATTCATCCAAGTCAAAAGTATCAATAATAGACCAGAACAAAATGAAAAAGAAATCTACTGATAATAAATAAATATTAATTTTTAAAAAATATTTCTATACATCTAAAACTACTTTCTCAGGCACAAAGAAGGTTTGGTAGAAGACTGCTGTAAAGATGGACGGACATAGTTACACTCTGGTCAGAGGCACTGTTATTTTCAGGATAATAAATCTGAACTATTTTATATTGATCAATAGAACAATTTTAAAATATTTGAGAAGCAAAATGATAATGTTGATAGACAACATAAAATGAAAAGATTTATTTAAACTATAACTGTTATGATGCCAGAATCAAGTGAGCTGTAGCTCTCAAATATATATGAAAACTATTGTCACGTTTGTCTTCTTCCGATCCTTCCTAAAACATCCTGCCCTATTTACTGAAAAAAATAATAATAATAAGACAAATTTATATAATACTGTCACTGTCTAATACACATTAACCTACGTATTCCTCAAGTTCCATAATACTTCAAGTATCCAACACTGTATCAGCTCCAGAATTCATTTTCCTTTACAATAATTTCTTAACAAGTTAATATTTCTAGCAAAAGTTTTTTTCTAAAAGAGGATGAACCTCCCTACAAACTTCATAAAGGCAGGAATTGGAACTTCCATTTCCTTTTATACTTACATAGATAAAATCATTCCTTTCAGAAATAAAATGTCTAGATCCTTTCCAAGAAATTTATATTGTATAAACAAAACAAACTATAGTTATGATTGAATAATTTAAGAGTTCAATAAATTATTTATACATTAACATCATTATATAAATTATGTGATTATTTTAAAAACCAAAACGTTCTAATTATAGTTTAGTTAGTATCTGAAATCGAAATATTACCATTTAAAGCAATCAAAACTTCTATTTATTTTATTGATTAATTTTCTATCGTAAACAATGAGCACTTTTAATTCAAGGCACAATAATGTCAAGTCTTTTAAAATCGGGAACTTTGTATGAACGATTAATCCAATACTGATTTAAATTACCTTATAATTAAATTTACTCTAATATACTGCTAGAATCATGATACTTAATATGATCACTAAAATACGGTGATGTCAAATACTGTCATGATAATAAAACTGATGGCAGTAACCTTTAAATTAGATAAAATATTATTCCATGGTAAAAATGATATTTCTATGGTATAATAAACACTAAAAATTTAAAAATAAATAAATTACCCTCAAGGTATGGACATAATATTAAAAAGAGAGTAGAAAAAAAGAAATAATTTACCCATATATGACAGTTTTATGAGAAAGTCGCAATGTTTTAAATTGTATCTAACTATTGTTGGAGATGAGATTTATTGCAACAACTGGAGTTACAGTCAGATACCTGAACCCGATCTTTAGTTACTCTGTTTTTTCAAAATAATTATACTGACAACAGCTTTTAGGGCGAGTGCATTTAGATGCCCTTGAACCCACTTAAATTTTGCATGATTGAGAATAAATTCATTAATTCGAATATTTCAATAGAAACAAGTATAAATGAAAAAACCAGGACTACAGATGAAATTAAAAATATGATCTACTGATTAATTAAAAAAAAACTTATTAACATTCATCCTTTTCATGTTACTTTATAATGATTTTATACTTTGTTTTAATATTATTCCAATTGATTTTGAAATAAAAAGAAGTTTTTATCCCATTTTGTTTTCTTATATAAATTTTAATGGTTACAAAAAAGTAAAAGTTTCACACAATGTAACCAATGACCGAATATATGGATTTATATACAAAAAGAATTTGGTTTTGCTGCTTTCTCATTAGTATCTTAATAGACATTAATTATTATATCGTAATAATTTTAACATGATTAATATATTTTTTTTCCATGGATCATTTTTTTTTTCAATAATTCAGTAAAAATTACAACTTATAAAAAAAATATTACGTTCTATAAGAAGTAAACACAAATCTAAAATTAAAAAAGTTTATAAGAAAACTTTATTATTGAATTCCTAAAACTGATTACTTTTTACAAACCATTTTTAAAGATTATAGAAAATATGATAGGAATACATAATATATTACTTTTATTATATATATTAGTTTAGCACCTTGCATGTAATCCCGGCACAGCACTTTTTCATGGAAACTGTCATATATAAAATCTTTCCTCTAACAATTAAATTTTTAACAGACTTAATATTTTCATATTCCTGATGAGAATATACTGATTGGGTATTCAGAGTAATCGCGATAGCTTAGTAGAATAATAATAATAATAAGTCTTCTTAAATAAAAAACTTAGCTTTATCATTTAAATAAATTAGTATAATGCAATAATGATCATTGAATTATAAATACGAATTAGGTGGCCAAACTACACTAAATTAGGCACAAATCCACTGATTCTTTAAATATAAAATTATCATAAATGAGGTGATGTAAGACACTTAACACTGCTCTGTTCAATAATCTCTGCCAACATTTATAAATTAAGAATAGTTTCTAGAAACATAACACTTGAATTAATAAATAATATTATATTTATAATTACTATGGTTTATTATAATAATAATTTGTATTATACATAATAGTTATTTCAATCCTTTTGTAATTACTATTATAACAAACAATAAACTACATTTAAATATAAATACTGTTGAAAGGAGTACCTATAGGTAGTACCTTTTCAATTTCTACTGGCAATAACATTTAACAATTTAAATATATGTGTATCGATCTATAGAAGATTTAATGAGATATAAACCTGTAACCTCATCATAACCATTTTTATTAACTTTTTTGTCAGCAATCATCTGAAGATAATAAGTTCCAGTCATTGATCACAATCGGACAAACTAAAACATACAAAAGTATTTTAATTTTATCAATAGTTTGATTCTTTTAAAATTAATCTAAATTCATATAAATAATTAATTATTTATTAGTCATTTATAAATATTTAAAAGATAATTTTAATTCAATTTAGAGCTCAAAAGGATAAACAAGATTAGACTAGCATTATGCATTTACAAAAAACTATAGGTTCAATTGTATTGGGGTATTTTAACTTGGTTCCTGATTCCCTAGATCTTTATGGTCAGAAAGTTGAAAAAGTAAGGCTAATTTTTTTTAAAGTTATAAGAAATAACTGCATAGTAGTCTCATTAGTAATAGATATATTATTACAGGCCTAGTGTTATTATAGTAATGAACGTAAAATATAATATTGGCCTCTGATAAAACAACTTATACAATAAATGTTGTAGTAACCTTCTATTAATGTGATTTACTAAATTTCATATTTTTTAGTAATTTTTAGAATTTTACTATGTAATAAAAGATACTTGCATAGGTTGTAAGTGCTTGAGGGCCAGATCCCCGGCTATTGGGCCATAGTTTGGGGACCCTTTACTTAGATTAAAAAAATTGTTCCTTACAGACCAACTGTGATTTTGTTGCTTTAATTCAGCAAAAATACAAGTAACTGGGGTCCGTTAAGATGAATCTTATGAATTAAGTAGAAGCATTTTGAGCTCAACATGCACCACCACTTAATGAGTAACCGAATAGGGAGGACAAGAAGCTGGGAGGTAAGTAAAACAAATTTTATAATCCTATATATTATATTCTAAAAAGGTGTTTTTTTGTCGGTATGCTATAACTTCGTCAATTCTTCATCAAATCCAATGATTGACCACTCATTTTGAAGATATTCTACTCCTTCACATGTGAAAAATAGTCCTATCCCCTCAAAATTTCTTTATGGAAAGTTATGAAAGAAACTTAATTTGTGAATAACTCAAAAAGTATGCATTTTTTTTCTTGATTGTACCCACGGTAATTAGAAAGATTACTAAATTACCTACAAAACAAAAAAAAATTGTAAAAATTGATTAGAAGTATGTATAATTTAAACAATTCGTATTGACGGAAGGAGTAAAGTGAGTTGAAATATTTTTTTAAGGAGAAACAGAGTTGAGATTTGTATTTCGCAGCTCAAAAGACCCTCGAATACGAATTTTCATTCCGATCGAAAAATAATTCTTTTTCTACAAATTTGACATAAGACACCTCCCTTTGATTTTATTTCGAAAATTATATCCACGATAATTAGAAAGATTACTTAATTACCTACAAAACAAAAAAAAAAAATCATAAAAATCGGTCAATTATTAACAAAGATACGGTCCATTAGTTTTGGTATACTTAATAATGTCTTCCTGTTTAAAGTTATTGCATTTAGGAGTAGAATAGTCTACTACATTATTTTTCCTGGCTGATATATATAAACTTTTATTTCTTAAAGACATTTGGTTGTTCTTATATTTTAATTTTTATAATAATTTAGAATATCCCATGATCGGGGCACTATTTTGTTTTTATTACTTTTATTATCTTTCCAGTCAGCATTTAAAAATAGGTTCTAGCAAAGCAATTTGTACAAATATTTTTGTCTATTATGTTTAATAGAATATTGTCATCGACCAAGGAAAAATTATTAATTCCTTTCTTTCATAATTCATAGGAACTACTTATTTCCATATTGTTTTGCTATTTCTTCACTAAACTAAATTTTCTGGGAACTTTTCGCAAGGGCCAACTAGTACACTTAACAAAGCAAATTATAACATACCTCAGAGAAAACTATTTTATAATCTTTACAGCACAATAATGTTGGCTGTAACCATACTGTCAAATCCGGATTTGTCCCCACAATGGAGCATGTTGACTAACGGGTCCACCCCAGGCCCAGCCATCTGGTATAGCTAAATGTCTTAATCCTTCCAGGATAATACCACTTACACCTATTTATACATACACATTGCTAATTAATAATAAAATATATTTATTTTTTTAATTAAGAACCAATATTATAGCAGTATATTACCAGTAAACTTAGATATTTCTGATTCTTTAATATAAATATTGTTGAAAGATGTTTTCATAGATGAGCTAACATTGGTTTTTGTTCCGGGTAAAAGGCACACATAATTTGGTAAGGTACTATTATCTTCTGAAACATAATTTTTATGATATCATTTTGTAACAAAAAAATAAAATAAAATATTAAATAAAAATAATGTATGGAAAACATTATTGACACTTTATTATAATCTGCCACATTAACAGAAATAGATAATAGAGACACATATACACTTATAACTCATTTATAAGATATTAAAAAGAAAACAAATATAATATTATAAATAAAATCAAAATAAGAATAATAATACATACAAGAATAAAAGAAAATAATAATAATGAGTTTTTTTTGTTTTATATAACATTTTTAAAAGATTTTACTTTTTTAATATTGAACCATAGCTTATATAACATAAAATTGAATTAAATTTTATTATATAGAGTTAATGTAGAGAGAAAATAATATAAGTTAAACTAAAACTTGATACTTTTTTTTTTTTTAACTACATTATAAAATATAAATAATGAACAAAAACATCAAAATAGTCTCTTCCAAGTGAAATATAACAAATTAATACTGCTTTAATTAAGGGACTACACCATTGACTAATGGAAAAAAAAAAAGAGGAAAGATTTATCCCTGACGCACAGCAAAACATTTCATATACGTGGAGATTAAAAATTTCCTAAGTAAAAAAATAATACAAAAATCAGTATGGTAATATATAGATTTTGAGCTAACCAGTGATATGTGATAGATCACCAACCACAAGAAACGGTCGTACTGATGAAGTAAGAGTATTGAATGAAGATCCATCACTGTTAGCCAACAATTGAACATTTAAAACAGAAAATACGCAACTTCGTTCCTAAAAAAAAATAAAATAAAATAAAAAATAAATGCATATAAGTATTTAGGTAAACATATGAACAGGACTGGAGAAAGCAGAAATGAAAGATCAATGTTTATTTTTACTTGGATATATAATCAACTAAAAAGTATAATGATCATTATTTTTACATGTGAATGATTTGTTCATATGAAACATATTCAGAATAACATTGAAGAAATAAAATATGTATATACACACATATATATTAGGACTCATTTCTTTATGAATTCAATATTATTAATTAATTTGTTCCAAATAATTTAATTATTGGGAAGGTTTTAATATCAATTTAATAAAAATGAAAATATTATGGAATGATAAGGAAACAATTATAAAAACAATTTCAATGAAATAAATAAAATTCTTACAGTTATTGTAGCCACAACTGCTCTCATCATAGAGTTGTTTTGAATATCTCTTGCAATTACATTTGAAAAAACATTAGTGTCATAAATAAAGCCAAGTCCCTAGAAAGATAAAGTAAACATAAGTTGATAGTTAGAAGTATTCATTGGATTAAAATATTCCAATATATACTTAAATAAAAGATAAAATATAAATATATTTCTTTTGAACCAATGATTTTAATTATCGATTTTGAGGTAATACTATGCAATGTAAGATGTTTATGAATAATCAACAAATAAATGCTTTATTGGGTAAGTAATAGCTAAGTTGATAGCTATAATTAGAATAAGTAGAATGATCTTAGAATTAATATACATATTTTTTAAATTATTTTATAACAGCAATACACCCGGTCTTGAAATAGGTAGAAAATGAAAAGGTTCTTCACTAAATCCACAAACTGAACATTATTTTTTAAATGACATGAGTTACATATTGACAACTTCAAATAAAACCGAAAATAAGAGGATGAAAATTAAAACTTAAAAATATAAAAAAAATGAGCCTATTAGCCTATATACCTGTTTATCTTGGAAACCAAAGAATTGACTTTCCCAAGATCCTCTCTCTTCCGGCCATTGCGATACTTTACGACAACTTGGTGCATTTAGTTCAGAGCAAATCTATAGGCAACAAAATAGGATGTTTAGTTGGGTTTAATAAAAAAAAAAAAAGTGTTGTTTCATACTCATAAAATAAAATAGATTTCTTGTCATATTTCTAAAAGACGATATCCAGAACATTTTTTTAAAAAATATATCCATCACAAATAAAACTATAATTATACATAATTAGTTGCTGGCGAACAATATCATAACATTATATTATTTTTATACTCACCATGTGTAATGAAAAAGAATCCTGAACACCTTGAACAGCAACAAATGATATCCTGAAACCATAATGAAAATTGAGCTATATCTGTTGTTATATCATAAAAAGAATGATTTACAATTTATATATGATTGTAATGATAATGATGTCGAATATTATGACAATTTATTCATTTTTCCTTTACAAATAATTAATAAAAACCATAGAATATTGATACATAGTATCACATTGATGTTATTAAATCTCCAATCCCTTGACTGGAGTTTAACTATAAAAATTTTTAGCCAAAATTACAATATTTTCAATAATTTTACTCTTGGTTATAAATTTATGATCCCAAAAATATAAGGAATTGACAAATGCTAAACAGTTGAAATTAAATTTTAAACACAAATTCTACTAATTACAAATCTGTTGATTTTTTTTTGTAAAAACTTAAAAACATGTTATTGAACTTTTTAAACAAAATACATTGATATTTTTAACAATTGATAAATGTTTTATAAAAATGGAAACAAGATGAAAATAAAAATGGAAACAAGATGAAAATAAAAATTAAACTGAAAAAATAAATAACTAAAATTTGAAATAACATTAAATAAAAAAAACATGTACATAATACAGAAAAATGTTTTCATACTGTTAATTTTTATTAGTTAGAGTCTGTCTGAGATGAGTTTGCCGGTGGGTAGAGTGGGAGTGAGATGCGCAGTGGCAAAACATTTTATGTCGATTTCTACAATTTTTTTTATGAATACAAATTTCCTTTATCATTTTCATTTGATATATTTGCTCTCGCAATTCCTTACTGGGCATGGGGGCTTTCGAGACAAGCTCCATGGAATTGGAAAACATACAGATCCCCAATGCCCTAGCTGTGGAATCCTGGAGACTGCTAAGCACATTATCATAAACTGCACCGCCTTCGAGTTGCTAAGGACCAGCCGAATTGCTGAGGGAGACCTCTATGTTATCACAGAGACCGATTTTCCTCAGCTAGTTATAGAATAAAACTACCCGTGCTACAAACAATTTGTGTACGGGTGGAAAGAAGCAATTGGACCCGCACACATCAACCTCACAAGAAGAGGACGCGGCTGGGAGGACACTGAAACAAGAAGGAGGCCATAAACAGTAGATTTAAATACGAAAATTGTTCTCATTGCAGAAGCAGGCAGTTATGCAGTGACGTGTAACAACCCAGTTCTGCAAAGCCCGTATTGCCTCAATGGTAGGGTTCAAATAAATAATAAAAAGATACATTTGATTCATAAAATATCAATGATATTTTATTTTGAAGAGAAGAATAGTTGGGGTGGTCAGTCAAAAAAGAAGGCAAAAATAAATGATATTTATTTTTACATATGCTGACGTTTCGACCTGAAGTTCAGGCCATCATTAGGGCTAAGAAAAGAACCAGATAATAAGGTATGAGAAACATAAAAATTACAGTAAAATGAAGTTGTAAGAATAATGACAATAGTAAGAACAAGAGACAAATGATAATAACAGGTACAAAGTGTGGAATGATGAAGTGAACACAGTCAAAAAGGTGACATAAGTATTTTACAGGGAATCTTAGAATAAAATGTAAAACAGAAAAATGTGAAGTTATATAAGAAATGGAAATAAATAGTAAAATTAAGATAAAGTGAATAGAATATTTAGATAGAAAATTGAGATGTTGTAAAATCTATCAATATGTACAGACAAAGTATGAAATAATAAAGAGTTAAAACAGAGAAAAGGAATGAGAGGAAGGAAGAGAGAAACTGAGAAGGTTGAAATAAGAAAGAGAAAAGATAACACACCTGAATGCTCTAAGGTAAAATTGAAGGAGGGAGGTGGATAGAAGGGATGTATAGTGGCATCTTCTCCAACGGTTATCTGACGAAGTTTGAACTAACGTATCGGAAGCGTAAATAAGAACGAGAGATATATTATTCATAAATATTAAGGAATAAAACGAAAGTTGATAGAAAGAGGCAATAAAATAGTTTAAAATAAAATAAATTTATAATAAATAAATTATAAATAAATAATTTATAAATTGTAACTAAATTGTCGTCATATGTAAAAATGTAACGAATAATGATAAATTATAATGTAACGAAATGTTGGCATATGTAAAAATAAATATTATCATTTATTTTTGCCTTCTTTTTTGACTGACCACCCCAACTATTCTTCTCTTCATTATACACGACAGTCAACCATTTACCAATTATGATATTTTATTTCTTTTACCAATTTTCGTTTACTATGTCAATTACACTGGGTACAGAGAAAACTATCCACTTTCAGACCAAAAACGTAATTAAACTCATGATAGTTTTGGGAAGGTGGAGCTTAAGTGGGGGAAGGCTGCCCAAGCTCCCTTTCCCTACAGGCAAACTCATTTTAGAGGAAAGAAAGTAAAAAGGAAAAGAAAGGCGCAGGTAGAGAAGAATAATTAAGCAGACAAAGATTTATAAGGTCTCTAAAGTTAATACAAAAAAAAAAAAATGTATATATAATAGATTTTAACATGGTCATAAGTTTAAAATGAAACATAGAAATAAATAAACCTGTTTTCAAGCAATGTGAGACAGAAAGTTTCTCTAACTGCAGTATTAGCTGCTTTTTGATGGCACATGTCGGTGAGATTCCATGTAGCAAACCGTACTTCACCAAAAGGAAGAGGATCCCACTTCAAGGGTGGTCTCTCGCACTGTTGAGAAACAAGTTCATAAAGATCTCCCTGACAGGCAACAGGCGAGGTTTCTTTTCTTGGTGTATCAGAGTTACGGAAAAATGAATAGAAATCTGAAATGACAAAGACAGGAAAATTAGGCCATTTTGAAGTGAATCAGTTAAATTTATAGAACACATGTAAATATTAAAAAAAAAAAAAAACTTTCAAACTCTTAACAAAGTATCATAGTTCTATCAATTCTAGAGGAGGTTGCTATGTTGAGACAGTACCTCAGTATTTTAAAGTTAGTGGTTTGAACCTCGCAAGAAATGACTTTTCATGGTGGACACATGGAATAAATTTCCATCTTCATACTCTGGTTTAAAATGGTTGAAACACCTTTTATTGATAAAAAAATAAATATAGCTGTACCACTACAGCACTGAAGGATCTTGAAGTCAGTAATTGGTAAGGAAAAACTGCTTCTGGACTATTCTTGGAGGTAAAGACCAATTAAAGTTCAGGGGAATATGATGGGAGCTACACCCAATCTTTATAACCACTTTACAGATAAAGTTGAATAAAACTCAAGTATGGTGTCTTCTAACCCTAGAGTCAAAACATGGCTGATAAAACAAAATTTTTTTTGCCTAAAGTTGGAAATGAATTGTTTTCAATATCTCTTACAATTCCATATTTTATAACATACATTTTACGTCATTCTCATGTTTAAGCACTAAATAATAACAATGAAATTTTGATTAAGATAATAAAGTCACCTGAAACAGCTCCACCATTTGGTATCCGAGGTTCTGATAAGACTCTTTTGTTAAGTTTAAAAGAATCAGATTTCAGACAAAGGCGAGGTTTGAGGTAGTTAAATTTTGTTTCATCCATTCCCTTAACCTAAAAGAATCCATTATTATAAGTCAAATTTAAATGTTTTTGATAAAAATTAACTTCTTATAAACTTGTTTTTGATAAAAATCCTTAAAAAAGATATATTACATACTTTGTAACTCACTATGGACAATTTTTTTAAGTTTATGAATGAGTACATATTTATTGACAATTCACTATTGTTTTTAGCCTTTTTTTATTATTCTTAATTGAATAAAATTACAGAAAGCAACTGTTTAGGTTTTAATGGAATGAAGTTTAATTTAACTATAAATATTTTAAGATAACAAAATAACAGTAAGAACATACTAACAGATAAATAGAAGATGCAACAGTCTATATATATGATATATGCTTAGAAGCAATCAAGAGGACAATAAGAGACTCTTTACGACTCTTATGAGAAATGCAAAGCATAAAATTGTACACTGTTTGATTATGTGCAAATTTAAGTTTCCTTTTCTGTCTAATCTTTTTTTTTACTTTTGAGCAGGATGTAATCATTTTTCAATCTAGTGGAGAAAATAATGTTCAAAATGACTTAATCATTGAATTTGATCACGAATTAACGAAGATATAGTATATCCGCAAAAAACAAATACCTTTGAAGAATAATATATAAAGTGCAGTGCTGAACTTGTTCCCTTAAAAACCGTTTTACTTTTTATTAGTTTCCTAATAATTAAAAACTATAAATCTGCTGTAATATTGTGTTGTTAATTATAAGGATACTGAAATTGTCCTACCAAGCTCTCCTAAAGAATATAAATTAAAAATAAGAACATAAAAAATAAATGAAAAAATCTATATTATCCGAGTTGCCCAAGAGACTCCAGAACTATACTCCTTTGTTTATCTTATCAGTAGATTTTTGCTTGTTATTAACTACAATTAACAGCAACATCATAACTAAACAATACAATATTTTTAAAAACCTACATAACACCACATAATAAGTATCCCATGGAAACTGCGGCACCTAGGGAGATTTAGACAATAATGATTTATCCCTAAAATGATACATTTTAATAATTTCACAGTATTATTAAAAATTAGGGAGTTTTGTTATGGTAATAAATGTTGGTAAACTCAATTATTTTAGTCAATGAACATGAATCTGAGGTTTGCTGATATATATTTTGTCCAAAAATGTTTAACAATTTTTTTTATATTATATGTTTTTACCTACATCTTGAAACCGTATTATAAGTATAACAAAACTATCCATTATTTGTCATTTTCTGTACTATCTTGATTGGACTATAAAGCTCAAAAGCAAATTAAAAGAAAACAGATTTAAACGAGAGATGTCTCAGGAAAAGTGGTAATGTATTATTAGCCTTGCTTATGCCAATATCTGAGATTATATTAAACACAATAAAACCACAATATAAATAGCAATAAGTAGTAGCATAAACATAAAACAAGTATCAAGCCTAAACATAAAATTCCTATCTTGAACCTAGATTATTATTTTTACTTTCACTTACCTATATATGTAATATATAGTAAGGAAAGTATTGCATTCATGAAAATTTTTGAATCTGAGTTTTCAATGGAAATACACGTTTTGAGGTACCCTGAGTCCAAATAAGCAAGTCCCATAAAATGATCTGTGTGTATGTGAATACTCTAGTTCAAAAACGAAAAGTCATACGAAAATGATATGTATTTAAGATAGTTATATGCCTTCAATGTCAAAGTAACTTTTTACTTAAATCGGCCAACCGGAAGTGCCATTTTATAGTAACGGTGAAACATATTATTACAATTTTCTCAAAAACGGCTCCAACGATTTAGATTAAACTATCATTGTATAATTAAGTGGTCTTTAATATCATTAAGGTCTTATCCCCGTTGATGTCACTTTACAGGGCTTAAATGCCTAATGTTCATATACGTCTTCCTCTAAAGTACCTTTAATATGGTTTATTTTAAATAATTAATCATCTCACATTATTAAAAGTTACAAAAAAATGCTAAATTTGATATTTGAATAAAGGAGAAAAAAAGAAAAATGCATATCCAGGCCGAAAATGAATATCCGGAAATATTAGTCAGAAGGTATACATATAATATATCGTTGGAAAGTAGAGGATTAAAAAATAAAACAATATCTAATATAGAAAGTTGTAGAAGGTAACAGGGAGTGGCAAAAAAAAATATAAATAATAATTTCTAAAAACTAACATTATTTAACGTAAATCACGTGTTTTCAAGGAAATTAAATGAAATTTTCTTACTAAATGTAAATTTATAAAAGTTTGAAAAAGTATTTAAAATCCACGGATTCAAGGCAATGGCATTGTTCAAGATACCATTTCATTGTACTTGTGAGAAAGAAGAAGTGAAATGTAAAAATATTTAATGAATATATTTATAATCTTATCTATTTACTGTAGTTTAATAACTTTAGATCTGATGTTATATTTAAGTAATTAGTTATCCGTTTATTCCAAAAAATTATCATGTAACTTTTTAGAAAATTAAATTAGTGAATAATTTGATGAATTTTCCTTTTGTGATATTCTGACAGTATCCAATTAGTGTGACAATTTTTGACCTGTCTATGATGCAAATCTCTTAATTCCATTTAAGTAAACTTTGAAATGGAAAATAACAGTTTAATAACTAATAGTCATACAATCCATAATTGAGAGATCGTACAATCCATGATCAACGGATCGTACAATCCATAATCAACTGATGATATAATAAATAGGACTTTTGTTATTTTAATGGTATTTATGATATCATCAATGGTAAGCTTTTAGCTTTAGCTCGGTTAAAAATGCAATTCAAAAATTTTAAAAAAGCCCAACATGGTCAGAAAATAATTTCTATTCAAAGTTGAGCAGTAAGTGAAAGTTGTATGTTATGCGCACTGGTTTTTTTTTGTTGCATTTACCACATACTTGTTAAATGCATAACAAAAACTACTTTGGGAGCAAACTATTAATAAATTTTTTAAAAGTATTTTAATCTCAGTTAAAGGTATAATTTATGATTTCTCGTGAAGACTAGACTCTATTGAGAAGTAGGTGCTGGAAATAGACCCTGTAATCTAAGCATTACTAATCTAGATTCTTGGCACTCAGCTAAACCACCCCTTTAAGAGCCAACTAACTGTTTTCCGAATATTGAATCTATAATTATTAATAATTATCCAGATATAGAAATTCATACTTTTAAAATGTCAGATATGTTGAAAAAATCGCCTCTCCTTTCCCGGTAATGAACTATAGCAGCGGCTAGCTCTTGTCCAAGTCCACGTATAGTCATAAGTTCAAATACATTAGCCTTGTTAATATCCACTGGAAGGGATTCAGGACTTCCTTCAGATGAACCGCTACTATAAAATAAGAGTATAAGCTCGATTAAATTAAAGGACAACTTCAAACCAAATTTGGTATATCATGCAAATTAAATGATTGCTTTCTGTGACTTTTTTTTTTTTACTACAATAAAGTTATTAGTTTAAGAGAATTTTATAATGAAGAAACCTTGATAAAGAATTTGTATAAACTTAAAAAACTCGGATATAGAATTGTGTAATATTTAGAAACGTTATGGAATTAATTTATAAAAACAGTTTATGTTAAGAATCTGTTACAAAACAGTATGCATTTATTAAAAATTTAAAGGATAAAAATAATTAAAATTGCATTTGGTCCAATAAAAGTATATTAAAAATCAAACAATTATATCAAGGTAATGCATCGTAACAAAATAGGATCTTATTTATTGCTAACCAAATAATTACATTTTTAAAACATAAGAATTATAGAAAATAAGCTATAGTGAAAGCCAAAAAGTTGATACAAAAGATGTTTTATCAAACTCATAGAGACTGAGTTGAATAGTTTAATAAGTGCTAATAATTAGTATTCACACATCAAAAAAGGAAAATCAATAGTAAAGGACAAAAATTGTGTACCTCTGATTTCTCCCTCTACTGACACATATTTCAGGTCTTATTTCATCTAGTTTATCAGCACCAATGCCAGATACTAAAGCTAAATCTTCAACTTTATTAAACTTTCCAATAGCATTTCTGTATTCGATTATGTTTTTTGCAACTCCTCTAGTTATACCAGGTAGGGTCATGAGTTCTTCTTCAGTAGCTACATTAATATTTAATTGGTTTAACTGTAAAGTTAATCATAAATCAATAAATTCTGTGATCTCACCAATAAAAGCATAGGACAGTATTAAGAATCATTGGAGAGCTCACCTTTATATTAGGCTCTATAAAGTTGAAAGTTGCACTTAATGTTCCTTGGGTACTGGTTCTTCTAAAAGGTGAACGGAAAGATCTCCTCAAAGGTCTTTTTCTACTTGAAGGCATGCTGGGGGTTGTTCCCATAGTTATTAGTCAGAATTTGTTTAAAGACATTTCAATGGTCTGGAAGCACTTTATGTTAACAAACTGTGCTTCAACCGCCTTTTTCAGTTCTTAGAATAAAATAAACTTAGTGACCTTAGCTACATCTCAACGCAAATTAAATTACCACTTCAAGACAGATAATACCACTTAAACTCATTAACTGCCACCTTACAGATAAAATAGACATTTTCGTCTTCTCGAACGATTTGACAGGGGGGCTTCCATTTGTTAACCTACCGTTTTTAGAATAACGTAAACAACACAATTACTACTGAAGTCAGGTTAGTTTCGAATATAGGACAATCGCCAAATAAATAATACATAATTTTTATTGATTGTGACCCATGACATACAACACTACTTTTATCTCCCATCATTATTTAGAATGAAATGGGCATTTTAATTCAATAATAAATATTGAGTAAAATAATCTAGTTCCATTTAAATATCACGGGACACTAGAGGACTACCTGCATTTTAATCATCATTGACCTACTTTCGGACGAGTTTTTTTTTCTTCATTCATCCAACTTCAAGTGTCTGTAAATACGTTATTTATGATTATTCAAAATAGTTAGCCAGAAATCAATAACAAGTATTATGATTTGGATAACAACTATGTATTTTATAGTTCACGTTCCTTGGCAAAAAATGTCTTATTTCATAATAAGGTTTGTCCTTGTAAATTGTCCATCTCCATAGGCCTGATGAGAAAAATGCGTCTGTCAGCATATAGTCGCATATAGTAATTTTTTTCATTAAACAGCTCTTAGTCTTTATATAAATCAATATATGTATGTACACTATATAAAGGAATGTAAACTTAATATGTTGGATTATATAATGATTTTTTTTTTTTTATAGTCAGTTCTTACAAGAATTATACCTGTAGACCTCCCCTAATTAAGAGGGTAATGGTCTAACTTCTTGGGTGACCAGCCCCCAGCCGTATTGGGAATTAGTGCCGGGATTCGATCCTATGATCTTTGCTTTACTAGTATAGCGCGCTAACCACTCTGCTATACTCAGCTATAATGATTAATAGCTGTTAAATAACGAAAATTGTGAAATTAAAGCTTTTCTGCATAATATCGGAATTTAAACGTAAAGTTATAATTGTTCTAGCTTTTGAATGATTGAAGATAAGGGGGTACAATAATCCATATTCTTAAAGAAAATTTAATGCTAAACAACTTTCTACCTAACGGCTTTCCGTAAAATGGAAAGAAAAAGAGTTGGCGAGCCAAATAATAACAAAAATGCAAGGCAAAAATCCTTTTTTTTTTTTTTTTTTTTGGAGTTAGTGAATTACTAGGATAAATATCTCGGAAAATATAGAATATAGCGTAAAACTGAATATAACCACTTCTGTTTCAAATTTTGTTAGATTCATTTTACATAAAACATTACAATCTCTAGAAAGCCTAGTTTCAATGATATAAGGGCAAAACCGGAAAAATTGAACTTTTTGAATCGTAAATATAAATTTTCTATTTGAAATCCACGGGTCTTAAGACAGTAAATCCTAAAAATTTAAAGAAACGATAACTTTCTATATCTATAGGCCCTCTCCATATATGTATACGTTTTCTACCTATATGTTGTCCCTATCTATCTTCACCTGTTCGCCATTTTGTATTCCAACGGCTATATGCTGGCAGACATGTATTTTTCATATTAGGATTATGGGTATGGTCAATTTATAAGGAAGGATAAACCATAGTCTGAAATATGATACTTTTTTTGTCATGGGCTCCCGGACTATAACGAATAACAAGTAATTTTGTATGTATCCGTAATTCGATGGCTTTTTAGAATTTATTCGTTGACAGATAATCTGAATCACATTTTACATATTCTTCGTAATTTAAAATAATCATCTCAAGTCATATATTTTTTCTTAAACGTGTTTATATTATCGGTACTCCGTACCTTCGATAATTATTGATTAGATCCATTGATTAAGCCATCATTTTAAAGATGATCTTAATATATTGGCGGATCCACAGCGGGCTTTCGGCTTGAAGCTCTGCAACATGGAAAAATATTTTTTTTTCATTGAACCATATTTGTTTCTGAGTGTTCTGAGCTAAATAGGTCATACATAGGCCAGTCAAAATATGTAACTCTTTTTATATTATAATGCAACACGTATCAAGAAAAAACATTTAACCTTAAAAGTATTGTAAATAATTTTTATTTTTACAGCCCTTTAAGGACCACTTTAACACTATTCTATACTTTCGTTTTCTTCTTCTTTCAGAGTAATTGCCATTATTTAAAAAAAAAATTAATGAAATTTCCATCTCTTAAGCAACAGTTTCGCCTGGTTTAATTTTATCATTTATAATATCAATTTCAGGAGAAGAACGAAATTGTCTTACATCATCTTGAACATTTTAAGCAATTACTTATTTATGCCACGACTCAAGACGTTATAACTCTTGTTATACCTACCTCACAAGAGAAGACCATTGAATTTAGAGAGCTCGAGAAACATGATATATTTTAAATTTTACCATTCAGATGATTTTTTAAAATTTATTTATTTGTTTTTATGTTATGCCTTGATCGTGTTGAGTTCTTTCGGCCATGCGACGTCTAGCAGCCCAGTAAATTTCACCTGTCCTGCCTTTGTTTCTAATGTCCTGTAGTCCGGGACAAGTCAACAGATGCAGAGCTGCCATGAATCCTTGTCGACACAGTGGATATAGATGGCTACAGTGGATATACACGGTATAGATAGATGGCTTTGGAGATAGTCATGTCCGGTTTTCATCCTGGACTGTGCAACGGCCTCACTTCTAGGGAGATCCACTGGTACTCTTCCATTTTCTTCTAGTAAAGAAGCCCATTGCTTCTCCTTTAACTCTAACTGCAGTTTCTGTTCCAGTACTTTAGTGATTGCTGTTTTGATTAGCTTGTTTGCTAATTCATTTATATAAACCGCACTGCATTAAGGAAAATACATCTTTATTTCCGCATGACATAATATACAAATACAGGGGTATATACTTAACCTGATATAGCCTACTGCAAAAGGAAATTTTCTCATTGTACTTTGATAAGAACTGCATCATTATGCAATTATTTACTTCAATGATAAATAGTAATAAAATGAATATCAGATGTGCGTTGGCATATCTTACAAATAAATCATTTTGACGGCTTTCCAAACAGTTTTTATTTTTTACAACACAAACTGTTAGAAACTAGAAGATTCAAGGAAAACATTTAGATCTTTAATTTAGATAAGATAGGAAAATATACTTCCATCCATGTATATAATTGTTAATAACAAGAAACAAGTCAGTTCAGTTAATTCTTATTAACATTGTGCAACGGATCATGTCGAATTATTATCTGCCTGGCAAATCTTTAGCTATCGAGTAAGTAATTCTTGTACGCATTAGTTGTCATTCGTTAGTAGTTATTAAATGAGTGCGGTGAAAGTGTCCTTTAATAAGTTTTCCATCAGAAAAATCTTATTTTAGAACTTTTAAGTGTTTAAAAGTTCATTTACTTCAATTTTCACTCATTTCTTTTCCAGGGCAAACTGTTTCAAATAATGATGAAAACAAAACGTAAACAAGAATATATTCTGATACTATTGTGAATAAATTAAAGATAATATAATTTTTATTGGCATACTAAATACTATTTATACAAGTTTGTATCCGTAAATAATGATAGGTATATTTGAAAATTTCTTTAAAATAAATTGAGAGGACGCGGCAATCATTGGAAATCGAATTAAGGTGGGACTTAATGAAATAAAAAATGAATATATCTTGATAAAATAATTATGAATTCGTATCCCAGTGCCGGAAAAATTTAACTCTGAAAATCCCCTATAGCCTAAAAGGCGAGAAAGGGAGGACAAAAAAAAAAAAAAAGATTGTTGTGGAGCCAAGATATTTTAATTTGGCTCCTTTCGAAACGGTTTATTTACCTTCTACACAGATCCTCTTGAATACGTGGAATTTTTAGCTCACCGTATTATATATTTTGTTGTCTTAATTTATTCATAGGCCGATACGCTCTTCTTATCTTATGATTTTGGCAATTCTCTCAATGTACTCTTGATAGCTTGGCAGCTATATCATATGCACTTCTAATGATTTTAAGATGATGTATCTCATTTATTTATTTATTTTTTCAGATTATTTATCGTTTTGGGATTACTGAACATTTGTGGTGGTGTAGTATTGTTCGGACAATGTCTCGGCCCTCCGGTAGTTCAAACTTTTGAACCAGGAAAAGTGAGTGTTAAGTTTAAAAGACATTAAATTTGGTGTGATATTATTAATTGATATATCTTATTAATTAGATAGATAGCCATCAATTTTAAACTATGCAGAGCTGATTATTGGAGGAAGCAAGTCGACTGTTCTACATATCATGGGTGATAAATATTCAGGACGCAGTCATTATAAAAATGTTTTATTTGTACCGACGTTTCAACCCAAACATGTGGGTCACCATCAGGGCGTGGTTCGAGCACCAATGATGACCCACATGTTTGGGTTGAAACGTCGGCACAAATAAAAAATTTTTATAATGACTGCGTCCTGCATATTAATCACCCATGATATGCATAGTTAACATTGGGCATCCAAATGTGTTGATGTGAAGAGTTCCCTTTATAGACTAAATAGTTGCAAACAAGGTAAATTTCACAAAACCATCCGGTTTCTACTCAAATTTGATAGATTTTCAAAAATTTAGGAATATAAACTTTTTTTTCTTTTTTCTTTCGTCGGCCCCTGAAATACTGAAAGACTCCCACTGAAATCAAATATAAAATTGATATATTTTAAAATAGAGAAGATTTTTAACAATGAATAAAGTACAATATTTAAAGTTGGTGTAATAGTCGGATGCCTTTCACAACACATTACGGCTTCAGACGAACAGATTTCGCCCTATCTATCAGTGCAAGTAAATATCCGAAACTCTCGAGTTTTATTCAGGGGAGGCAGGTACCCGACTACTAATTCAAGTTTAAATATTAGTTGATGCCAATTTTTCTATAAATCTACCAAGATGTTTAAGTGAATATGAAAGTACATTTCCTTAGGGCGGATAGAATTACCCAATATCTGTAGTAGATTTTTTTAAAAATTTAAATATTTTTTTACTTTAACATTTTTATAATTTAAATATATATATATTTTTTTTGTTTATTTTTTTTATTCACACCTGTCATAATGGTAATGATAACCAGTGAATGTGAGGTTGATTCGAAAAAAATAATGTCATGAAAGGCATTACGAGGATTTTAACAAGGATAATAAGGTTTGAGATATTAACAATTTATTTTCGTCACATATCGTTGGCACCATGTAAAAATAACAAATATTAGAGCCTGCGAAAAATTGCACATTCATTACTATAACATGGAACCGAGGAAATGATTACATGATATCATTTCAAATAAATTAATAATCAAGATACTTAAACTATAATAAAAATGTTTTTAAGTATATTGTGCTCAAATCGATTCAAAACATTCACGGGATCTCACTGGGTAACAACAGCCGTCAAAGCTAAAAATCAGTCTTGCCGTCCGCTCAAAACATGCTTATCTTTTTTTTAGCGAATTGATTAAACGCATTTTACAAAGTAATGTTCCAACATTTAATTTAATAACATTTTATTTAATCACGTTTAATTATTTTTAGCTTAAATTGTTTTCAAACACACTGAAAATCTCACCGAATAATGTAAGCCGTCAAACTTAAAAATCGATCAAGCCATTCGCTTAAAACAGCGTTACATAGTTTTTCGCAAATTGATTAAACGCATTTTATTAAGTACCAGAACAGATTATTAGCTCAAATTATTTTAAAACACACAGGGGATCTCACCGAATAATTTGGGCCATAAAACTTAAAAATAGATCCAGCCGTTCGCTTCAAAAAGCGTTACATAGCTTTTTGTGGACGACCTAAAGTCATAACCTTCATTTCGCTTGGCTTAGTCAAGTGAAAACAAAAATTTTTGATTTCTTAGTGTATACAACCTCAAATAAAAATAAAATGTTTTTCAAACTCGGAATAGTTTGTGAAAATGTGATAAAAACATCACGTGAAAATTAAATAAATAAAACCCTCGTAAATAAATAAAACCTTAGACCATAAAATGTTAGGATATGTTAATATATATTATTACCTTTGAATATAAATGACATTTTAAATACAATTAATAATTAGGTATCAATGAAGTAGTGACATGTCTACTACTTCATACTAGTAACATGCCCTAGCTTAGCCAGCCTAGTCGGCTTTTCATAATTATTTTTAGTTTACACATTTTATTCGTTCATGTAGCTTATGTATTACTGATTTTAATTTTTTTTACCTCAAGTTATTGGGGGGGAGCAGAGAGGGCGAAACTATATTCTCGTCCCCTCAACATTTTTATTGAGAAGATGCGATCTTTATGAATGGTTTCATTTGTGACAAATTATGGAGCATTAAGGATTTTACGGAGGATTTTGGATTGTAAGGATTGGATACGATAGGAATTCGATGGTTTAGTGGAGCCCCATAGCTCAACTCCGTAAGTCCAAATAGGCCTTATTATAGTCATGTATATGAGTCTATTGTAATTAATTGGAAGTTTAGAGCGTTTGTCTAGTAAATGCTGAAGTAATCGGAAACGTCGAGCGGTTTCTTGTCGTTAAAAATAAATAATAATATTTATTTTAATATTTGACAACGTTTCGACCCGAAGTTCAGGCCTTCATCAGTGATGATCGAAGCGATCGCTTGAAAAAATGAATGAAAACATCAGAGAATGAAGAGAACATTTACTTCAAGCGATTGCTTCAATCAGCCCTGAACTTCGGGTCGGAACGTCGGCAAATGTTAAAATAAATATTATTATTTATTTTTGCCATTTTTATTTTGACTGATCAACCCAACCATCCTTCTCTTCATTATTCACTACAGTCAGTCATCAACCCACAATTATCAAATATTCCATTCCCCGTCTCCCGTAAGTATTTATTTTCAATAAGTTCAGTAATATATTTACTATTGTTCAAGTATTATTCACTATTAAATAATAAATAATAAAAAAATAATAAATGATTAGGATTTAAATATGTATGTATAAAATTAGTTTTTATTTTGGATGTTTTTTTCAGGATATAAGTTTCTACGTGTGATTAATCAATAAAACGGTTTATGAATTACTCCGAAGTCTTCTGAATTTTAACATTTTTAACATAGCATAAAAATTAATTAATCACAAAAAATCAAAAATTGCATTATTTTATTAACTAATGATTTAAAACGAACATGTTTTAGTTCTTCAGCGGAACCTGGTATGAAATCCAGAGCTACGGCAACGAACTTTTTCAAGGATTTGGAACTTGTTCAGGTTTGGTGTCAAGAGTTACGGAAGATAATCAGATAGCTTTGAAAACATACAGTTATCAACCAATGTAAGTTAAGACCTGAGGTAAAATCAGAAAGAAAAGGATGGCATAATAATATATTGTGACTTTTCATTTATTATTTTATAAATAAATAAAGATTCAGGCACTTTATATGAAAAATAATATTAGTCTATTGTCTTTATTTATTTTATTTTTTACTTAGTGAGCTTACTTGACCTTTTTGTTTACTTCAGAATAAGTAGTCAAAATATATTATTCCTTAATATTTTTGTTGTTTTAATCGTATCAAAGGTTGATCAATCATTTAATTGAAGTAACCTTTAACCTAGGGTCTCGTTGTGGCTGAGTGAGGTGAGATCACGGACCTTGGAACATTCTTAGATCGATTACTGAATATATTTCAATTTTATAATAATACAATATTTGTATCTAGTTATTTTATTTATGTTTTACAAAATATTTATGGTATTTTTTTAACGAGAACTGATAGTAGCAAACAAGGGTGTCAAATATTTTCCCTATATGATTGAAGCACGCCAATTCACATTGCATGCAGACCTCAAGCCTTTTACTCATGCATTTCAACAAAGTTATGAAAAAAAAAAGCCCCAACCAACTGACACACCTTGACTTCATAGGTTAGTTTATTGAGTCACATACATACGCTATTTATTGAGAAAGTTCAATATTCCAGCTGATCTGTGGTCCAGAATCAATTCAATTGTTGTTCCATCTTTCATCCTTTTTTGAACTCACAGTTGAAGTTCAGAAAGAACTTACCGATCTTCAAATCTCATCTAGTTCCTCTCTTCTGTTTTCTTCTCATTCGTATCAGACGCATTTAGACGAGTAATCCTTAAATCATTGTATAACCTGGCCCATCCAAGGGGGAAAGCATGAGTTAATCTGGTCAAATCTAGATTTTTGAGGCCATTACTGGAGAAAGATGTTAATTAATGGACCAAGTCATATATCCCTTGCCAAAAAGTATAAATTTGGGAGCATACATCGTCACTTTTCTTGGAAGAAAGGTGATAATCGAGAATGTGCCAATCATAGAGGCATTGCATTGCTGAGTGTCTCAGAGAAAATATACTCACATATTTTAGAAAGAAGATTGAGGAACGAGGTAGAACACCAACTGGACGCGGAGCGGAGTGGCTTGTGACCAGACAGGAGTACTCAAGATCACATTTTTGCGCTACGCCAAATATGTGAGAAATTCATCGAGTATGATAAAGAGGTTTACCTGACCTTTGTAGACTTTGTAGGCTCTTACACAGAGAATTGCTTCATTAAATAAGATGTGCAGAAACTATGTTAGAACGTCTCATCAAACATCCGACGAATTTGTCATTACAATGGGTGTCAGGCAGGGAGACATAGGGAGCCCTCTATATTTTATAACCCTCATGGATGATGTTATTAAAGAATGTAAGAGGAAAACAGGCGAGACACCACTTGGATATTAGAAATTGCAACCAGTCAACTGTTCATCGTTTGCATTTGCTGATGGCATTATGCTAATAGCTGATAGTAAAGAAAAGTTACAGGCAAATTTAGATGCCTGGACAGAAGAGTTAGCAAAAAGGAATATGGTCATTAGCACTTCCAAGACTAAGTGTATGCTGGTGTCCAGAAGCAAGAAGGATTTTGGAATTCACATTCATGAGGAGATGATACAGTAGATGATACTACGTTCAATTATTTGGGTATGACGATCAGTGAGAGCAGCATGAGCAGAGACGAAATTAATATGAGAAAATTTTCTCTGCCATCAATAAGTTTTTAAATGAGAGAGAAGTGGCAAAAGAATCAAAACTAGCCGTCTATCGCTCAACGTTCGTCCCTATCCTCATTTATGGAAGCGAATTCTGAGCCCTGAAGCAATGTGATCGGTGCCTCCTCCAAAGCATGGAAATGGTGTATCTTAGGAAGACCGGGTACGTAACACAACGGTACGGGTTATACTAAAAATGGAATCCCTCAGCCAGATAATAGAGAAAGGGCAGCTTCGATGGTTCGGTCATGTAATGAGGATAGATGACCACCGTTCTGCAAAGAAGCGGGAAAACGACCTAGAGGGAGACCAAAAATTATTTGGGAAGATAATCTCAAGAATATTGTTAAGGACAGAGGAATTGGATGACCGGAAGCCAGGAGAGCAGCCCTCGACAGAGACGGATGGAAATCCTTGTACAAAAATCTCTACACCGAAAGGTAGAAGAGAATATTGAATAAGAAAAATACATCGTTACCAATTGCTCATTACAGCCAAGCAGAATCAGGAATTTTACATATTAATGTAGAGCATTCTACTAAAAGACTATAGAATATCATCTCAAAGCTAACATTTTTGTGTTCTGTCTGAGAAAAAAAAATTATGCAATAAATTAATATAATATTGTTATGAAGAAAATTACTGCTATTTGATTTAAGAGGATGATATAATACATTAATTTATTTTTTCATTTTTTAGATTGCAAAATTATATTACTATTGATGGTAGGAGTGACACAAAAAGTATAGTAAATGGCGTAGCCACTTTACCCATTAGATTCGATATATATGGAGGTACTTATATCTTTTCAAAATATTCCGTATTTATCAATTTGATTGTGCCACTTTTATTTTATTAATTTTTTTTTCTTTTTATTTCATAAAGGTTTGCTTAGCAATAGCTACCAAGCTCATATTATTGACACCGATTATGACAATTTCGCAGTTGCTTATTTGTGCCAACAACGCTTTTTCATAAAAAGTGGTAAGCAATTTGTTTACTTTAAAGATTTTTTTTATTTTTATTGGTTTTTTCAATAATTACAAAATATTATTAAATAGATAATAACTATTAGTAAGTCCTGTACAGAACGAATGTCCTCCTTCATCCAGTCTGAAAAAAGAATACATTTTGCGCTGTTAAATATACTTTTGTGCTTGATATTTTTATTATTTAGCCGTGTATAAGAATTTTTGATTGTTCAGGGCGCGTTCAGGTAATTTTTAATAAGTTTTCAATTTTTTTTTTTATGCTAATTTTGTAATGTGAGCAAGTTTCTCTCTTCTTTTCCTTCTGCTTCCTAATCTGATCTCTCTCTACTCGTTTTGAAAAAAGTCTACAATGTAGGCCGAAACGTAGACACACTTCAAAATAAGAAGAAAACAAAAAAAAAAAAAAGAATTATAGATGGTATATTTTACTATTTATAATATCCAAATATTAAATGTTATTATGCTAAATTAGAAATTAGAATATCTGAATGAAGAACGAATTACAGTATGATCTCTTTAAGGCAATTTGATTAAATAAAATACGTTCTGATAATGATAATGTTAATTACTATGCTTCTGGTTAATTACGATAAACTGAATTATAACACAACAGTTTCCAATTACACCATGTTTTTATTTTTTGCTTTTTATTTTTAAATCACAGATGGAAAAGACCAAACAATTTTTTTTGACATTAATACAATCAATGAAAAAAAATATTTAAAAAACGAAATCCAAAAATAGATGGAACGAGCGTTAGATGTAGAAATAAGGTGAGGTCCTGAGTGACAATTAACAATTTTAATGTATAGATGCTTATGTAGTTTTTTTTTAGATAAATATGATGAAAAGTTTTTCTTTAATTAAAAAAAAGAATGGAGTAAAACAGGTGTAAAAAATGTTTTGGCTCTTTTCTACTTTAAGCACACCAGTGAATTTTTGAAGCGTTTTTGCATTTGGATTAAACTATCTTAGAAACGAAAAATAGGACCTGCATACTATATGCAAGGGAAATGTTTAGAATTTTATTGTCTTTGTAATAAGCTATTGCTAAACCTTTTATCTTAAGGTGACGCCTTGTTTTAACACGAGTCGAAAGGGGAAAAAGGAAACGAGCTCGGTTGAATATAAGGATTAAAATGCGTAGAAAAATATCTTAGAAACTAGAAATCGGACTTGTTTAATGTAAGTGAGGTAAGTGTTACGCGCTTTATTCTCTTTGTAATGAGCTATAAATCAAAATAATATTTTGACTTGACGCCGAATCAAAGTCGGAAAGGGAAAAATATAGTTTTACTGGTAGTAGAAAAGTAGAAAAGAGCTAACATTTTAAATAACAGAGATAAATCCCGAGTAGAATAAAGTGGATTTTCGAAACAGAGAAAGTTCTTTTAAACGGGCAACTGGAAATGATTGTTATGATTTGGGAATTTATATTAACTCACCGATAACTGGATTTAAAAACAATGGTGTGAATGTGTTCATATATCACTATAATTATTGTCCACGAGACTGATTATTATATGTCTAAATAAGTTTTAAAAAAATAAATAAAAAGAAGAGAAAAAAAATATGACATCACCATTTCTCTCGTACAGAGTCCAACTATTCTATAAATTAATATATAGATTGTTAATATAATATATTGGGTTGGCAAATAAGTTGTTCAGTGTGAAATAAAACTCAATTTTTTATAGACATAAAATTTATTGTAACCTACAATATATTGACCATTATTTAATATGACTTTTTCCTATCTTTCCACAAACTGCATAATTCCATGTTCATAGAATGTCTAGAGTTTATTGTTAAAAAACTGATCCAAGTGGTTTTTGATGTCCTCTTCCTTTTGGAATTTCTTTTCATTCATTGTGTTCTGCAGAGACCGGAATTAGTGGTAGTCACATGGAACTAGGTCTTGTGAATAGAGAGGATAGGCAAAAGGTCCTATCCTAAGGCTCAATAATTTATTGCGAGTGACCAATGAGGTGTAGGGCCTAGCGCTGTCTTGGTGGAACACAACACCCTTCCGATCATTCATAACTCTTCAGAATGTTCTCCAAATTCGATGTTACTATATCCGTTGGAAAGCTGAATTATTGCTCTTCAAAGATGTATGAATGGTTTTTGATTTAATGCCTAAATCAAGGAATAAATAAACAAAAACTCCTTATAAGTTTTTATTTTTTATTTCCATTTTAGTTTGTTTACGAAGGTCCTGTTGATGTCATTTTGTGTAGTTTATGTGACCCTAAATTCCTTGTAGATAGCTAAAGTTGTATTGAAGTTATAACATTTAAAAAAAAATCATGTGAGGGACCCAAACATTAATACTGAAAACATTGACGAGCTTGTGCAAATGGTTTCTACGCTTGTGTGCGACACATTTTGTGCCATAGCAATCTCTCACACTGATTGGGAAGGATTTTGAACAACAATGGCCTTAACATTGCTCGTTTTAATTTCATTTGGGCGAGCAGACCGTTGTGTATCATTGATGTCAAAATTTCCTGAATGGAATTTGGCAAACCAATTTTGACAGGTGCGTTCTGTTAAGGCATCATCTCCATAAATGCTACAATTTTTCCTATGAGCTTCTGAAGGAGTAAACTGTGCTCACTAAGATGGCAGATGTTTTTCTGCTATGGTTTTTACACATTAATTAAAGATAAAAGAGGATCAGATGCAATGTTAATGTAATTTTCCAGATTATATGATTAAAACTATCGATTTAGCACTATTGTTTTTTTTTGTTTTTTTCAGAAATGGCCTACGTGTTATCAAGACAACAAAATTCCCTAAATAATCAATTTTCAACCAGAATCAATAACGCATTGTACGCAATAGGACTTACCACGTCAAATTTATTGAACAGTATTAATTCTAACTGTGGAACTGATCAACCAATTGTGTAAGCTCACATTTCATTTTGACTTTCTATAAAGACTGTAGATTATTAATAAATGATACCGAAAATTTGAAGTTTCTTTAATAATTCCTCCTTTACCCCTATAAATTAATATAATATATAATGGTATAATAAATGATATGACAAAGTTTGATATAATATCTTTTCTGTAGTAGATGTAAATAGCTGAAGTTCAAGAGTTATTAACTGTTAAAACCATTTAAAAGAGGGTTTCTTTAATAATCCCTCCTTTTCCTCCGATGAATTGATATAATATATAATAGTATGATGAATGCTATGACAAAGTTTGATATAATAACTTTTCTGTAGTAGATATAAATAGCTGAAGTTTAAGAGGTATTAATTGTTAAAACCATTAAAAAGACGACTTTTGAGTGAAAAAGTAAACTAAGTTCTGTTTTAAAGGGTCATGAAGTATTCGCGATTTTTTTTTAATCACCCTCCAACTGTACTACGTATAACCCACTTTTAGAAAAACTTCCATGTTTAAAAAACCTTAAGTTCACATTACTTAAGTTGAGGTTAATTAAGAAATAAGTTGAGATTCGCCATAAGTATTGTAAAAAAAAAGGAAGTGATTCCAGCACCTAAAAGTAGCCATGAATTCAGCAAAAATGACTACAATAAATTATTGCAAAGCTTTACTTTATTGTTTCCCATTATGACAATAATAGTTAATATAATTCTAGTGTCATACGTTACATATAAAAAAAGAATATATAATATTAAAAAAATATATATAATATACGACACTTTCATTCATCACAGACATAATAAAATGTTCCTTTAATATTTACTTAATTATAAACAGAATATGTACATATATGAGTATAACAAACAAGATATAAAAAATAAATAAAATAAAATAAATATAATAACTAAATCTAAGTCCAAGACCAACAGGAGATACAATTGGCTATTGTATCACGATATACGGGTGTTATATAACAATTTGGACATCAATCTCTTTACTCCGACGTCTAACAAGATAGAGGATGACCGTGAACGTGAGAGTATCCTAAAATTATCTCTGGTAGACCAGGTCCAAAATGCGAGATTAAAAACAATTAAATATATTACTATATTTTACCCTTTTGTAATTAATTGGAATGTTTTATAAAAATTAATCCTCATCGATACGACGGAAAGCCGCTCCTTGGACTTTTCAAGCGATTTTCTTTGGTTTACCCAATCGCATTACGGATTTACAAAAAAATCTGGTGCGCGTAGCACACAACTTTCGCTTACTGCTCAACATTTTCTGCTCAAATTATTTTCTGGTCATATTGAGATATTATAAAAATGTTTAATTGCATTAATTGCCGAGCTAAAACTAAAAGATTACAGTAAAAAATTCAAAATACCATTAACATAACAAAAGTCCTATTTATTAAATCACCGGTTGATTATGGATTGTACGATCCGTTGATTATGGATTGAACGATCAGTTGATCATAGATTGTACGACTATTAGTTATTAAACTGTTATTTTATATTGCAAAGTTTACTAAATCGGAATTAAGAGATTTGCATTGTATGTCATAGACAGGTCAAAAGTTGTCACACTTGAACTGGGTACCGTTGGGATATCGGAAACGGAAAATTCAACAAATTATTCACTAATTTAATTTTAACAGTTAACATTTAGTAAGAAAATTTCATTTAATATCCTTGAAAACGCGCATTTTTTTCGTCACTTTCTGTATTATGTATTGTTTTGTTTTTTAATTCTCCACCTTTCAACGATATATTATACATATAAATTCTGACTTTTCCAGATATTCATTTTCAACCTCCATAAGTTTTTTTTCTCCTTTATTTAATTATCAAATTCTTATATTCAGCATTTTTCAATATATTCTAACAATGATAAATAGTTACTATTTATAATAAACCAAATTAAAGATACTTTAGAGGAAGATATAATAATGTTGGACTTTGACAAAGGGAAAATTCATCAAATTATTCACTAATCTCCTAGTCACTTCCTTAATTTTTCCCCACTTTGACTATTGCTGTACGGTATATGGGGGCCTCTCTGGGGATCTCGAGGCGAAACTAAAACGTTTGATAAATTGCTTTGTACGATTCATCTTCGAGATCCCAAGGGACGCGGAGTTAAAGTGGCTTTATCCTTCCTACCGTCGTAAGTATTTCCTGGCATCCTTCCTCTTTCAAGTCATCCAATCCCACCGTCCCTCATACATATCCGAGCTCCTTCAATTCAAATCCTCTGTTCGTTCCCGCAATACTCGTTCTCGCTCTTCTGATTTATACATAAGGGCCCACCGAACCTCTGCTTTCGTCAAATCGTTCATTATTCGATCCTCATCTCTATGGAACTCCATCTCTTCCCATATCCGTCAATCTAATACCCTGCCTACCTTTAAATCCCGCCTGTTCAATCATTTCTTATCCATCCAGTACCCATAAAATCGTAAATAGATACTACTGAAAATATGTACATAAATTATTAGTTCGTTCTTCATTATTTGTACTCCAATTTTTGTTTATCTATTTTTTTTATTTCTTTTATTATCAACTGATCAAAATTGGAAAGCTACTTATATGTATATGTGTATATATATATATATATATATATATATATATTATTTGTTTTTAACCAAGACTGTTCAATTACTCTGTATTTTTATTTATGTATCTCTGAGGCTCCTTAGCCCACATTTCTGTCTTCCTGTATTATTCTAAAGGGACTCGTCCCAGAATAAATAAAGTATTATTATTATTATTATTATTAATTTAATTTTCTAAAATGTTACATGACAATTTTTCGGAATAAACAGACGTTGGTACCTAATTATTTAAATATAATATCAGATCTAGAATTATTAAACTACAGTGAAAGTATTTCATGTTAGAAGCATATGCTTTATACGTCCATGAAATAATTTTATATTTTATTTCTTCTTTAACACGAGTACAATTAAATGTTTTTTTTAACAATGTATTTGTCTTGATTAGGTGGATTTTAAATAATTTCTTAAAACTTAAAAATATTTTTTAAAGTCTACATTTAGTTAGTAAATTTCATTTAATTTCCTTGAAAACATGTGATTTACGTTAAGTAAAGTTAGTTATAAGAGATCATTATTTATATTTTTTCGCCACTTACCTTCTACAACTTTCTATATTAGATATTGTTTTTTCTAAAATTCTCCGCTTTCCAACGATATATTATACATATACCTTCTGACTAGTATTTCCGGAGATTCATTTCGATCTGGATAAGCATTTCCTTTATTAAATTATCAAATTCTTTAAAAAGTTATATTTAGCATTTTTTAGTAACTCTTATTAATGAAAGAAAGTTAATTATTTAAAATAAACAATATTAAAGGTACTTTAGAGGAAGACGCATATGAACATTGGGCATTTAATTCCTGTAAAGTGACATCAACGGGGATAAGACCTGAATGATATCAAAGACCTACATACATAAAGTATACACTGATAATCCGAGTTTAATCAAAATCGTTAGAACCATTCTTGAGAAAATTGTAAAAATATGTTTCGCCTTTGATATAAAGAGGCACTTTCAGTTAGCCAATTTTAATGAAAAAGTTACAGTTACATCTAAGGCACATACCTATCTTAAATACTTAATATCAGTTTCTTATGACTTTTCGTTTTTGAGCTAGACTGCTAAATACAAGTACACAGACACACAGACCATTTTTCGAGACTGTGTTGATTATTTGGACTAAGGGTAACTCAAAATCTGTATTTTTGTTGAAAACTCAGATTCGGTAATTTTCACGATTGCAATACTTTCTCTTACTATATATTACATATATAGGTAAGTGAAAGTAATAAGTACAGGCTATTCGAGATTGAAAGACAAGTGACTCTTCAGTCACCTGTTGCATACATAATTGTAACCATGGGTTGTTGTTATGCTACACCATTGACTTAGGATTTATTAAAATAAAGGTAAATTCATAAATACACTTTTTATTTTTTTAAAAAAAGTTAAAAATAATGATTTTTAAAGTATTCATCATATAAAATGATTATGATCTGTGTTTTACCCAGATTTCTATTATAGGAATTGATCTGTACTTAAGACCAACTAAATGTTATTAATCCTAATATTTACGTTTTCATGAAAATAAATAAAGCAAACATCATGTTTATTTATTTAAAACGTAAATATTAGTAATGAAATAAAATGAAATGAAATGAAAAAATAATTTTATTCTGGGACTACTGTACCCTAAGAATAATAACAGAGTTACAAATTTATGTGTCTTAGTCTGACATAATAATAATACCAAGTAATTTACTATTAATTGTTATTTCAATTGTGCAATGGATTGAAATTAAACGTTGTATAGATGCAAGTAATTTTACATGTTAGGGGAAGTTTGAATGTGGAGTAGATGTTGGAACAGGAGTTGTTAGAAGGAATTTGTGGACGAGGATTGACGCATGGAGGTAGGAAGTGAGTTCCATAAGGAAGCAGCACGAATGACGAAGGATATGCTGAAAGAAGAAGTTTTATGGGAGGGAATATATAGGTCTATAGGTTGAGACCTAGTATTGAGAGAGAGTGGATAGAGGAGCGCAGAGTAAGGAATTCCAGGATGTAGGGAGTATTTTTGGTTCTGAAGACTTGGAAAAGGAAAACACCAAGGAGGAATTGTCATCGGGAAGTAGGATAAAGCCACTTTAACTCGGTGTACCAGAGTGAAACATGTGAACGCCTGAGGATCCCGAAAATGTATCTTATGAAACAATTTATGAGTCTCTTTAGTCTCATTTCCAGCCTGGCAGACAGCCCTGCATACACCAAACAGCCGTAGCCGAAGGGGGGAATACAAGGGAGGTTACAAGGAGCTGTCTGGTTTTTAGAGGAATACAATCACGGAATCTTAGGCGTTGTTTAAGGGCAGTTATGGATTTTCGGGTAATCTGGGAGATATGATTATTCCAGGAGAGGTTCTGGTCAAAGGTTACTCCTAGGTTTGACTGTAGGGAAAAAATGGATGGAATAGTTATTGAGGTTAAGTAGAGGAAAGTAATGAAGGCAACTGATGAGATGTCTGGACCCGATGATAATAGCCTTGGTTTTATCTGCATTCAGCTTTAATTCATTTATTTCTGCCCATCTGTTGATGCAGTCTATGTCCTCTTGTAGCTTCCGGGCAGCCTCAGGCATCTCAGAAGGTTGGAATGATTGGTATATTTGGAAATCATCGGCATATAGGTGGTAACTGGAGTGTTGAATGGCGTTAGGAAGGTCACTAATATAGATGGAGAAAAGGGTCGGGGAGAGTGAGGAACCCTGAGGAACACCTCGTGTTAATTGAAGGGGTGATGATGGAGGTTTGTTCGGAATTGTAACTGTCTGAGATCGATTGGATAAGAAGGAGAGGAACCATTTTAGGACGCTATTTGATATGGGCAGGCTTTGGAATTTAGAAAGAAGGATCTCATGATTAACGGAATCAAACGCCTTGGAAAAGTCAAAAAGAATTAAAATGGAGATTTTCTGTTTATCGATGGCGGATTGGAGGTCTTGGGTAATCCTTAGCAAGGCAGACTGGGTGGAATACTCGGTATTAGTATTGGCCTAAAAAAATTAGGCGATGTAAAAGAGTATAATAAAGTAATGAATGTATTTTTTTCTCGGACCTTTAATTCAAAATATATTTGAGGAAAAATAGCGGGTTTTCCGGTGATGGAAATTATTGGCAAGCATGATTTTTTTCACATATTATCAACCCATACAATATACGTATAAATCACAACAGTCTTAAATTTGGCTGAATTATTATGTAAATGTTTGTTATAGTTTCCCATATTAAGAATGGATTTTTAGTAAGGCATGGGATACAAAAAAAAAAAAACAAAAAAAAACTCAGTACAATAAATAACAAATTAAACATTTTTAAGTATTAAAAGTTTTTCAATATACTATGGAGAAAGTACACCAGTAAAACTGGCCACTTATCAAATAAACACAGTATAACAAACCATAAAAATAATATAGTTTGAGCAATAAAAAAAATATTTTGTTCACACCGTCCATTTGCTGCAACAATATCATAACTTGAAATTCACGATCTTTCAGAATATACATTTGACATTTTAAAAATACAGGGTGTCTCATTTCTTAATGACCAAACTCTGGGTGATGATTCTGGACAAAATTTCCAACAAAAATGTTCATTTGATACGTGAGTCTATTCCGAACGGGAAAGCAGTTGCGACCAATTTTGTGTTTTTGTCAAGGAAGTCATGTTTTTTATTGAATAAGAAGAAATCGCTGAAAAACTGTTCAAGCTAATTAAATTCTAAGTACACCATTGTAAAGTAGACAATTTTTTTGAAAAAAAACAATGATTAAATTTAGTAAGGTCAATGATAAAAAGGACTTTAAATTAACTAGAGTGCTACCAATGGATAGTTTCTCAACATGTGTTTCATGTCATTATATCCATGTACGAATTTACTGGATATATTTTTTTTTATGCAGTTGTAAATATCATATAAATAATAATAATAAACCGATTATAAAAACCGATGGAATAACAAGATGTTTATTACCTACCACAGGCGGATCTACGGGGGGGGGGGGCTCTCGGGCTGTAACCCCTCCCAAATTGTAAAATATAACCATGTTTTATGAAAAACATCTCTATAAGTATTATTGTTGGTCTAATTACATTTAATAGGACTTAAAGAATTACTTAAACACCATTTCATATAGATACTTAGTTTCTCTCTTGTTTCTGAAGTAATTATCGTAATATTTACCTACAAAAGAAATCTTTCGGGCTGAAGTTCCCCAAAATTAAATATTGGATCCGTTAGAGTTTCTTACCGTCGATATAATCAATAGAGTGGTATTTTAATGGTTTTAATGATATGTTATCTATAAGCTTTAAGCTTCAGCTCCGTTTAAAATGCACTTAAAAAATTTTGTCATAGCCCAACATTGCAAGAAAATAATTTCTATTGAAGTTAGAGCGGTAAGTGAAAGTTGTGTTGCGCGCACCAGATTTTTTTTTAAGAGTAATTATAAAAACACATTTCTAATAAATTTACATTGATTCAAATTTATAAGTAATTAAAAAAACAAAAAGACTCTTCCAGGAAATTATAAAATATAAATAAGAAAATCTTGTAATTCAAAAAATAGAGTAGTCCAAATTAGTTTCAAGCTTTAAAACTCTGAAATACGAATTTGTGTTGAAATAAAAAATATGTATTTTAGACTTGATTTTATTCGAGTTTTTTTTTCAGCAACCTTCATAACTTCTCAGTTTCTTCTCATGCTTCAACCTTCAAAAATTCTCATAATTCTATTCAAAATATAATTTGGGAAATTCTTAATCTCAGAACATCCTGTCTATGAAAATATTAGGTCAACTCATCATTAAACAAAATCCTATTTTTACCTAGCTTAAAATAAATAAGCTAGATAAAAATTTATAAATTCAGGAATGTGCCCTTGAACTAGTTAAAAGAAATGATAAAGAAGTTTTCCAATAAAAAGTGCCGCATTTTACAGAAATATGGAGCGAAAATTAATGGACTGACTAATTTAATATTTACGTTATAAAATAATCTTAAGCTAAACTGCTATCCATTAAGAAAGTCATAAAAATCTGTCATTTCAAGCAAATAATGCATTCTTGTTAACGTATAAGTATGATGCAATTGAGGTTTATGAAATATTTACTCGTCAATCTGTGGATGTTTGTTCTCAGAATAAGCAATCATTTAGTAGCTTGAATAATATTATTTATCAAGTTATTTTACTAATAACAAATTATTAAAGTGAAATAAACCAATCAACGAACGTATGTGCTGGTGTGATGCAATAGAATAACATGTGTAAGTAATACTTACTTACTAAGCAAACTAATTTTTCATGAACTAAAAATATAGAAATGAATTATCAAAAATAATAAATATTGTCTATTTAATAAATTATAATAGATATTAGTTTTAAGAACGGATTTTATTTTATAATTAATTCTATTGTTCTTTTAACTTTGTGCCTTATAAAAATTATAGTAATTAATTTTTTTTATTGTGATAAACACACATTTTTTTCTCAATACTACTCTCTCTGGTGAACTAAACAAAAGACGTTCGATAAGTAATGGTTAAGCTAAGACACTGTTCTCCTATATTGATGTGTTGATTAACACGCAAGTAATTAATTAAATTGTTTCCCCAGGACACTTAATCTTGAACTATTTCTTCGAATTGTTATTTATCAAAGGTAATAATTTTGTTATTTTCAGTTTATATGAAGACTAAATGTATAAAATAAAAAAAATGTAATTTCTATATCTGATATCTTTTGGTGAAATAGACAAAAACGATGATTTTTAGGAAATTTAAAAGAAAACGTATTGATAACTATCCTAATTAAATCAAATTTTTATAAAAGAAAAATTCAATTTCAAGTTTTTTATTTTCAAAATTTTCAACATTGTAGTAAGTAAGGTTTCATTTTCTTTTATCTTTTTCTATTTTAACGGAAAAGCCATTATGACACATTATCGCTAGACTACCAATTTTTAATACTTAGCTGAACTTTAAAGAGTTTATAATTTTTGTTAGGGACTCATTCTTTTCCTGCCCTTAATCAAATTATAATATCTTGAATTACTTCTGTATAAACAAATACATATTTTTAAGGATCAATCTTGTAATAATTTATCAGAGGATCAATCAATATAGGTTAATTCAAAATATTTCATAAAAATTTATGTTACAATGTCAGTTTATTATGTTTCAGTACTGTCCTAATATCCTGTCATTTTTTTTCTCAATAGGAGGTTATCGAGAAAAAAATAAGTCTGTCATAAGTGTTACTATAGTAGGGTAAAAGCACCAATAGCTGATGGTGTAACAATAGCTGACATTCTCCTTGAAAAAATGGGAATAATGAAATTTCAGGACCTTCTAGATCTCTATTTCATATGTTTTTTATTTCTATATTTTCTCTTTGTATATTTGCTGCTTTGCTTTATTCTTGCTCGGAAATTGCAACCAAAATAATGAGTGGCAAATTAGCAAGATCCCTGACAGTCTACTTAGTGTCCCACTAACAACCATCTGTCAATAAGAGTACCATACCTTAGGTTTGCCTTTTTCTGCTCATCTATTCAGATTTATCCTAAAATTGTTGTTTGATTTTTTTTTTTGGAGTGTTTTTAAATTATGTTTTGACTGCTTTAACTTATCTTGATAAAAGAGTAGGATATTTAATGAGTGTAAGCTACTGGAGCCTTATAATGGGGACTTTTGTCAGTATTTGATAGACCTGTACTCTCATAATTTCAAAGATATATACTCAATCTTATGGGTCTTGAAATGGGAACATTCACTAATGTCTCGTTAAAAAATACATTTATAATGATTTGGATTAAATATATAGCAAAAATAGATTCTCCTGTTGCCAAAAAACAGATTCTTGGCAGTGACCAGCCGGAATAAATAAATTTAAGCCTAGAAAACAAGCAGTTAATTTTGTAATAAGTTAAATGTAATTTTTGTTAATATAAAAATGAGGAAAATGTGACCCATAAGTAACATTCAAGTTCGGAGGTGTTTCATAGATCTGTAATGCTAAACTAATGAAGTAGATGGAAAATGAACTTTATTTACAAAAAGTACTGAATTGGTTTCACAAGAGAAGAAAAGAGTTGTAAGATACAGGACAAATAGAATATAGCTCATTAAATATAGTAAGTGTATCAGGAATACATTTTTTAAGTGAAAATGTACCAATGTGATTTTTTACTTTTAAAAATAAAAATAGGTTTTGTTTCTAAAACTTATATTTCTTTTGATTCATGATCCATCAAATTACCTAGCTAAAATATTGATTTACTGTGCTTCAGATGTTAAGCATAAATGTGTTGAAGCGGTGTCTCAGTACTGCATCTGTTCTACATACCCAAACCGATGCCTGCAAGATCGGTATGAGAGAAATTGTGGGTTTTGGCATAAATGGACAATCAATATACAGTGATAATCCGATGTTTCCATACCCTGCAATTCGCTTTAGAGAAATTTCGCCAATATACAAGGTAAATTACTTGTTACTTTGATGTAAATAGTTTTTTTTTTCCTAGGCCTAAGTAACGCCTGTTTGATCAGCCATGCGTGCTCTTGCAGTCTAATATAATTTTGCTCTCCTAGCATAAGGGCTGTCCATTTCACTAAAGTAACATCTTATGTCCTGTAATGCAGGCCATGTATCAAGATGTTCTCCTGTCATCATATCCAAGGAACACAGAGGGCATACCAGGATATCTTTTATACCGATGCGGTAGAGGTGCTTCTGAAGGAAATCATGCTGTGTGAGCATTCTAAAGCATGCCACAGCTTGCCCGCCCTCTAGGTAGGTCTCTAGGGATTCTGCCACTTTCTTCCAGCAGTTACTCTTGTAGGTAGCTACAAGCTACTCTTGTAAGTAGCTTAATATAAGTGCTGGTGGATGGTGCGGAGACTGTCGATGTGTCCCTGGCCTGAGGTATCGAGGTGCTATTTTACAACTTTAAAGAGGATCCCATTGTTAACTTATAAAAAACCGGGATTGAAACGTCGAATAAACACAGAAGCAATTTAGTAGTTTATTGAATAATTAATAAGTAGCCTTATTTCCAATTTCCAATTTAAAATTTAATGTCCAAAGGTCGATTAAAGAAAAGTTGTAAATATATATATATTTATATATAAAATTTTATAATATAATAAAAGTTATAAATATATATATTTTTTTTCATAGATAAAATAATTTTGCACCATTTTGGGATTAATTTTGACCAACATCCTGATTGACATCTCTGGCATACTTTTTTGTGGCATATTTTGAGAAAGCCACCTAAAGAAAGTTATCATAAAAAAAATGACTGTTTTTCAACTAAATATTTGTATTATTATTTCTTTGATATAAAATACAATTAATACTCAAAGTGTAGTCCATTTTTATATACCTTTTATATTCATGTACATTTTATATACATTAGTCATCTGCTAGCCAATTGCTTGATTGCTTGATCCCACGCTGATACCATTATTTGGGATGGCTGTTAAAGAACTCTTGGACCACAATTTCAACTTCTGCAAATTTATCAAATATTTCCCCTTGAAGAAAATGAGCCATGCGATCTAAATAAGTAGTAATCCGATGATGCGAGGTCTGGACTATATAGTGGATGAGGCACGAGTTTTTCAGACAATGGTTTTTCAATAAATTTTCACAAATTTTTAATATCTTAGCTGATTGCTGAGGAGTAAATTCGTGAGGTACTAGCTAACTGCTCTTTTTCACCTCTTCCATGGAGATTAGATGGCAACTAACAGTATCTTTCGACACAACACACTTCCTGGCGATTCTCAAGTACTTGTGGACGGATTTGACTCTGCATCTTCCTGCAGAATCTTATCAATATCCATTAATGATGGCCTGGATCCCTTCTTCCTTTCCGTTATATCTCCACTGCTAAAATTTTCAAACCATTGCCACGCAGCATGCTAGTCAAGTACACCTTCCCCTTCATGTTTAATAATTTCACGAGTTGCTTCAGTGGCTGTGAAATTTTTTCTACTAATGCTTAAAATTATGAGAATTTCATAGGACATTGTCATGTTTCTTTATTGAAACAAATAACTAAACTGAGGCTTTTTTTGAAGAATTTTAATGGGATTAAACAAGCTTAGAGAATGCTCTAAAGGGATTATTAAGTATTGGTAATTATTAAATAGGATTAAAATATTTACAATCCTTTGAAATCTTGAATTTGATAAAACAATCATTTTTTTTATACACTCTATTAATTATAGTTTCACTAATAATATTTTAATCACAATATCATGAAGTTTCTAAGTTTATTATTTTTTATTTAGCTATGGGTCGGACGAGCTTATCTAGAGATTTGTAAGTGATAATATCACTTAATTTTCTTAAGAAATTTCAAAATATTGAAGTAATAAGAAATATCAAAAACATATTATAGAATATGGTAAAGTATGTACGGAAAAAAAAGGAAACAAAATACAAAGCTTTCTTGGATATTTTATGATTACAATTTAGAAACCTATAAAAAGTTGTAAACTTACAAAATATTAGCCAAATCTATTAGTATCTGTCAATACTTTTAAATTAATTGAACTGCTATAGCTTAATAAACTATTTGATATACGAAAAATGGACATAAATTACTTTTAAAAAACAATACCTTAAATAGTATTGTTCATAGGTGGGGGAACCTGCAGCCTCCGAATGTTTTTGCACAATATTTATTAATCTAGCTAGAACTAATTAATATTTAATATTATTTGTTAAGAAAATTTGTAAATTAACAGGATCAAGTTGAATATATGTAGGTGGGATGTATGTAGATAAGATTGATGAAAGAGACCTCCTAACTTGTGTGAGAAAAATTGTTAGGCACATATCTGGCCTAGTAAAGAATGGTCCAATGTGGAGAACAGGGCGCACGGACAGGGAAATACTCTCCTTAATTAATGAGCCTAATGTAGCAAAAGTTGTTAAGCTCAGTAGGCCGCGCTTGGCGGGCCTGGATGTCAGGATAGGGCAGCCACACGAGATACCATGGAGTCCAACCGAGAGGCCACTAGATCTTTTCTGCTGCTATAGGTGGATGATGTTGGAGATGATTCAAGGACCCTGCTTGGAGTTCGGAATTGGAGGACGGTTTCACTTAAATGATTAAACTGATGAAACCTGCTTCAGTAGACAAAGGCCCAATGATAGTTTGTCACACAAATTGTGTATGTATTTAGTGATAAATAAAAATAGCAACAGTAAAATATAAAAAGTTGTTGTGGCCTTCATCAGCACTGCCTAACCTTCCTGTGGCCTATGATGATGAAAAGGTTCTCCAACTAAGGTATTATTAGTTACTTGTCATGTTGTATTTCTGCTAAACTAATTTTTTTATCACTTAGGCACATCTAAATCATTTTATATAACATATGAGTGTTTCAGTTGACAGAATAACTGACTCCAATTTCAACATTTTTCAAGAAACTAGGTACTTTTTATATTTCTTTTTTGCAAATTCTTATATTTTTCTCATTTGCAAATGTATGGCAGAAAAATTAAAATGTGACAGTTTACAATGGTTAGATTATAATAAAATCAATATAGAAAATACAAAGGTAGTAAAGTAATTTTATAGGGTTAGTAAGAAACTGAAAAGTAAAACAAATTTTTGATTAAGTAAATTAATTTCCTTTATTTATTATGTTTGGTATAAGGATGTTTGGATAAATTTAGTAATTTTATCAAACCAAAAATAGATTTGGACGAAACAAAAAAGAGATACAATGTTTTACTGCTTAATTTTGTAGGTAGTTTAAGTTTTCTTTGTAGGTTTAGAAAACAAGATCTTCCAATTACAGGAATTAAATTTTCTAATGTTAAGGTTTCAGTGTTGCATCCTGCAAGCTTTCTGAAAATCACAATAATAATAATGCATTTCTTTTGTAGTTATATAAATATCAACAAATAACAAAATTATGAAATTAAAATTTATTAACTTTTTGTTTGCTTGTCCTAACTAAAACTTGTCCTATCCTCTATTCTCTATCTGAGATTAACATGTTGTCTTTTTCTTTTTTTGAGTGATGTTAAAGAAGTTGGATATAGTAAATTCTAATTTCCTAAAGATAGTTGCAGAAGACTATGAAACCGTTTAAATTTAAAGAATGTTTTATAAATATTTTGATATGTGTTTTTTTTTTCAATCTCGCCCATATTGACCCAATTTATTTTACTTCCCTTTTCACTTATTTCTGCCTGTTTAATATGACATCTAATGTTTTTGTGCTGAAGAAATCATTAAGTATTCATTAAATGAACTCTTCATTTAATGAAAACTTCTTTAAATGAACAGTATGTTTTTGTTATTACAGTATGTTGTCATTATTTTTTTAACATTTCCGAATGATTTCTGATTATTCTTTGGGCAAATATATATAATTAATTTTTCAAGCTTTAATTTGTACTATGCTGACATCTGCATCATGCTATAAATAACTATTACCAAATAAAAGACATTCATGAAAATTAAAATTACTTTTTTACTTTTACTTATCTATATATGTAATATACAGTAAGGGAAAGTATTGCGATCGTGAAAATTTATGAAACTGAGTTTTCAACGAAAATACACATTTTGAGGTCCCCTGAGTCGGAATAACCAAGTCCTTCAAAATGGTCTGTGTGTGTGTGTGTGTCTGCGAACGGCGTAGTTCAAAAACGAAAAGTTTTAAGAAACAACAGTTGCGTATTTAAGTTTTATATACACTTGGGATGTTACACCATCTTTTTCGTCAAAATCGGCAAACCGGAAGTGGCACTTTATATAATCGATTAAACACATTTTTACGATTTCCTCGAAAACGGAACTAACAATTTTAATTAAACTCGGTATTTTAGTGTATTATTTAGTTTTTTTTAAACATTAGCTAGGTCTTATCCGCATTCATCTCACTTTAGAGGGCGGTCTTCTTTTATTTTTGATACCTCATCCTCTCCATTTTTAGGACCTATAACATTTTATAACAACTTTATTATCTGGGCGTAGAACTTCGTCCTCCTGCTCTCAGTTCGTCTCTGCGACATTCTGCGGAACATTTGGCAATGCAGGAAAGACATCATCTATCGAAACTGTCTTTCCCAATAGTGCACCTTCTATGTCCGGCCATTCAACTTTTACATATTTCTTTTCGCCGCCTCCCGCGGCATCCACAGACATCACAGAGGCAACAACAGCCTCCTCAGCAGGTCCTGTTCTCAGAACCCATACTCTCTGGCAAATTTCAATTTTTTTCGTTGTTTTTAGGTCCATTCAAAATCCAATCTCTCTACCGTATACCACACGTATGATTAAAACAAATTATTTCAAAGAGCATTAACCTAATAAATAAATAAAAACTAAACAGGAGAGACATGCATATATGCCGACATAAACACTCGAATATCAAATTAATATGCTTAGAAAGAGTTAAAATGTAAAATGAATAAAGCTAAAAAAAAAATTAAAATAAATTGCTTAATAATAACTTAAAATATAAAATCAATAGAATCCAAGTTATACTAAAAAAAGTTAATAAGTTAAAATCTATCTTAAAATTGAGCTAAAATATAAAATGAAGTTAAAATCTATTTCTTAAAATTAAGTTAAAATATATCAAATAAATTAAGGGAAAAAGTTAAAATCTATAAGATCAATTTTTTTTAAAGCAAATTAAAATATACAATTAATATAATCTGAGCTAAACAATAAAAGATTAATAAATAAGTTAATAATTGAGAACAAGTTAAATATACAAGTAATAAAATCTAAGTTAAATAATAAAAGATTATTAAATAAGTTAATGAATAAAAACAATTTAAAATATATTGTTAAAAATTAAATACACATATCCACGTCCACTGAATAAATAATAAATGAAATAGAATAAATAAATCAATTTATAAAGCTGAATAATTATTTTTAAAAACAATAATTAAGCTGACCTGTGATCAGACAATTTTTATTCGAAAGGTTTTTTTAATAAGAGAGCAGAGAGAGAATAAAGAAAATCAATAAAACAATGGATAAGGTTAATTGACAATAATAAAACAGGTTGGGCTCTTTCGATAACAGCTGTTGGTATTGATAAGACGACACTGACTTTGCCAGCTGGAGGTGGTTGCTCAGAGATGGAGGCGGCCGACAAGTCCTGTGCTGCAGAGCGATAAGAACCCCAGTCCCACAGGCACATTGATTCATTTGCCTTCTGATCCTGGCGAAGATCCTTGCTTGATTTTCTCCAAATTCAAGTAGCAGGTCTCCAGCATACGGCTTCGCTCTCGTGTCAATTCTTAGCTCGATTGGGCGAATAAAATCCTATTAAAAGGGAATCCGCCGTGGAACCGATGTGCCTTTGTCATCGGCTAGAGCCGAACTCCCATAATATAAATGCCACACTAATTGGTAAAACTCCATATGGGAGATAAAAAATCAAATAAAATAAACAAAAATGCTGAAGGACTGCATGCAACAAACTGGCAAGCAGTAGCCCAAGATAAGTAAAGATGGAGAATTCTGGTTCAGACAGCTCAAGTTCAAAGTGGGATTAAGTGGACTATTTTTGCTTACTACTTTATACGTTTACAGATTACTTTTTATGTTTAGTGATTATAATGAGCCATTATTAATCCTCACTTTTTTGATATTTACTAACGTTAATTGCACATTGTTTAGTATGCCATCAAATATGACCATGAAACCACGGGCGGATCTACGGGGGGGGGGGGGGGTCTTTTGGGCTGAAGCCCCCTCCTCCCCCCCAAAATGGTAAAATATAACCACGTTTTACCGAAAAAAATATTAAAAAAGTATCTCTTAAAGTATTATTGTTCGTGTAATTACATTTAAAAGGGCTTTAGCCAAGGGCTTTTTAGGGCATTTAAACACCATTTCATACAGGTAGTTAGTTTCTTTCTTTTTTTCCAAAGTAATTATCGTTATTTTTATGAAAAAAAAAACTTTTGGGCTTAAGCCCCTCCCAAAAATAAATCCTGGATCCGCTAGTGCATGAAACCACGCGATTTTCGAGTAACTTTTTTTATGAGTTAGACATTCAGCAACCCAAGCTGCAGGAAACATTACAGGCATTTGGGGAAGGGTGTTGTATAGAACGGACTATTCGCTAGTGGTTTGAAAAAAAATTATTGGTTTCTGTGTGGTGGTCAATGGTAGGAATAATCCATTTCTCCATTTTACTCAGTGATGAAACCATCACATCCACATCCTACTGCAGTGATATTGACATAATGCATCAAAAACTTGTCAAAAAACAACCTACATTGGTTATTGTAAGGGACCAATATTCTTACCCTAGGCCTCATGTTTCAGGACAGATAGGGAAGAAACTAAATGAGCTGTGTTAAGAAGTTCTTCCACACCCCACCTCATTCACCAGACTTATCTCCAACATATTTCCATCTGTTCAGAAATTTGGACAACATAAAAATAAAATTTTAGAAAATGATTCTCAGGTCAAAGATACATTTTCTGACTTCATTTCTTCACAAAACCCTAACTTTTTCTACAATTGAAAAGTTGATAACACGCTGGGGAGAATGAGGGTAAATATTTTGAATGATTTTTTTTTTTTAGATTCCATAAAGTTCTTTTACTAAATAATCTTTCTGACATTTCATATGAAAGGGCTTAATACAAAGTCTGAAAAGCCAAAAGGGGAAAAAAAACAACGTTTAACTGCCCAGATGAACAAAACACTTCTCAAGATCAACAGTCTGTTTCTAGCAAAAATACTTATGGTTTTTAAAATTAAAATTGTAAATATATAAGTTATCATTATAACATCAAATGGAATCGCTCAATGTAGGAAAAGAGCTTTTAGAAAATCGGAAGTGCTAACATAAACATTATGATTACTTTTTTCTTTCTCTATTTTTATAGTTTCTCTCTTTAATTCTGCTTTATACGGGTTATCTTTTTTCACTTCTGTTGCTGTATTTTCTGAAATTGCATTAGAACATGATATTTTATTCTGGAGAAAGAGATGTTTAGCTTGTATCTATAGATGTTTTGAAGTATATTGTTAAACGTAACAAGTATAGTTACATAGAATAATAATAATAATATAAAAAAATGTAAATATAGAAAAATTGGAGTTAAGTCATTCTATCAACTGATTTTTTTTATTAAATGAAATTTAAATTTATTTTTTTCCAAACTAAAAAAAATATGATACTATAGTCAGTTATATAGAATCCAATTCCGGCTCTCAGGAGTGATGGATTTTAAGGAATGAGGTTTTAAAAGAAAGAGAACTTCCATTTTACATTTCCATATTGCATTGCCATTTATGCACTGTCCAATATGCTATGCAGATTATTCAACTCGAAATAATATAAAAATAAAGAAATGAGGAATTTGTCATTATGTTAACTGAAAGGCTAATGTAATATTGGTTATTGAAATTATATCTAAAGGATGGTAAAATTTCTATTTTTAAAATTATTTAAACATGCGTCAATCTTGCTTTTAAATTTTGAATTCCGAGGCATCTGAAAAGAAGATGGCCTCGAGATCTCATGTTGTAAATATTTTTAGTGTTCTACCAGTGGGCAATTTCTCAACAAGTGGCTTCATGTTATTATATTCTTGTGTTCACATTTACTGAATGTATTTTTAATGATGTAGAGATGGTTGACCTTGATATAATATGAGAAGGAAAAATGGGAGTTACGTCATTCTGTCAACTGATTTTTTTTATTAAATGAAATTTAAATTTTTTTTTTTCCAAACTAAAAAAAATATGATACTATAGTCAGTTATATAGAACCCAATTCCGGCTCTCAGGAGTGATGGATTTTAAGGAATGAGGTTTTAAAAGAATGAGAACTTCCATTTTACATTTCCATATTGCATTGCCATTTATGCACTGTCCAATATGCTATGCAGATTATTCAACTCGAAATAATATAAAAATAAAGAAATGAGGAATTTGTCATTATGTTAACTGAAAGGCTAATGTAATATTGGTTATTGAAATTATATCTAAAGGATGGTAAAATTTCTATTTTTAAAATTATTTAAACATGCGTCAATCTTGCTTTTAAATTTTGAATTCCGAGGCATCTGAAAAGAAGATGGCCTCGAGATCTCATGTTGTAAATATTTTTAGTGTTCTACCAGTGGGCAATTTCTCAACAAGTGGCTTCATGTTATTATATTCTTGTGTTCACATTTACTGAATGTATTTTTAATGATGTAGAGATGGTTGACCTTGATATAATATGAGAAGGAAAAATGGGAGTTACGTCATTCTGTCAACTGATTTTTTTTATTAAATGAAATTTAAATTTTTTTTTTTCCAAACTAAAAAAAATATGATACTATAGTCAGTTATATAGAACCCAATTCCGGCTCTCAGGAAAGTATTTTTTATCTCAGAATGTATTTTTATTTCTAATACAGTTGTAAATATCATAAATAATAAAAAAAAAATTAATTGATCGACAAGTCATACCCTTTATCATTAATATGAATAAACAATCACATTTTTAGGCTTTAAAAGAAAAAGAGAAAGGCGATTGGCGTTCTTTATCTATAGAGGAGAAAAAGACATTATACCGAGTGAGTTTTTGTCAAACATTTGCTGAAATGAACGCTCCTACTGGGAGATGGAAACCTGTTATTGGTACAGCTTTAATATTGTTATCGACTGGTTTACTTCTATGTACATTGATAAGAATGATTTGTAAGTATCTCTACACTTTCAAATAATCATTTAATCATAATGATAGTAAGCATAATAAAAATTAATTAAATAATTGTGAGTTTATGGTTGACTGTAGCGAATAATTGATTGTTTTCATCATGTTTCTATACTTGTCTGATTAAATAACCTTTTTATAGGCAGTGTTCCAATTTGATTTTCAAAAATGAACCACATTAAGTGATAAAAAAAATTAGCTATAGAGTAATGATTTCCAGTTGTTTTCCAGATATGTCCTAAATCCACTATAAATAAATTTTTAAAAATAAAACCTTATTACTGCTCAAACCAGAAAACGGGTCATGAAAACATTAATTAATGATCTTCATTGATATTACAAGGAGTTCACATTAAACTTTGTATTCTCTCACTCGTATTCATAGAAAACTTATCTTATATAAATTAATTCAAAATTAGAATTTAAAAACAGCAATTTTTATTTTATCAGCAGATAGTTGAGTCTCACGTTAATCAACATGCCACTTTTGAAAATATTTGTTGACAGAGAACCGAAGAAGCCACTATGCTCCACATTTCTTCGGCAATGATGCTTAAATTAGGGTAGTTGTTCTGCAGACCAAACCACCACTTAGTAGGATCCTGGTTGTGGTATAAAATATCCTTTTCTAAGTACCTGTTTAATTTAATCATTGCCTTTGATTCAGATGTTCCATTTGGAGAATGTTGCACTCAAGTTCTCATTAATACTCCTAAAACTTCCAGTTCGTTTTTTTTAATACATTTTTCTGTACTCCTCTCTGTTTATCTTCATTTTCCTTTACCTCAATGAGTTTTCAGTCGTTTTAGTATCAGACATATTTGCTTCATTATTGTCTATTGCAGTTCATGTGGTGTTCAGAACGAGAATTGGAAAAAAATCCAGTGGTGGAACATTCCGTTCCGACCTGTAGTCAGAATTGCCCATCCCTAATCACACGTGAGACATGAGGCTGGGCGTTCTACAGAATTTATGAAGCTTTATAACTGGATCAATGCCGAATCGTATTGTAACCAAATTAATGCAATACATCAGAAATTAGCAATAACGAAGCCATTTTTGGTCAATCTGAAGGGGCCCATTTTGCTGCATGTCAACACTGGACTAGATGTCTCATGTGCGACTTCATAAAAACTGTTGGAGCTTGGAAATGAAAATGCCATATCCGCCCTACTCTCCCGACCTCTCTCCCCTACGGATTACCATTTTATTCTTTTATATGAACGTTTGAGGTATTATACTTAAAATCAAAATTCATCATTAAACTGAAGGTTTGAATATAGATTTTAAAGGAAATGCCTCAAACATTCATATAAAAAAATAAAAATAGTTAACTGCTTTTGAAAATGAGTGACTAACCTGAAACGTTAAGGATATAATTTGTAGAGAAGTAATATGAAGACCTTTCACTCATTTTTTCTACACTATTTTACATTAACAACTAATGGGGTTTCAAGAGTTAAACTTAGAAATTATAGTAGATTATTTTTAAGTCAATTTATTTGTAATAAATTTTTTATTTGAATAATTGGTAGGATCCTATTTTTGGTACAAAACCGATTCTGAGGCTTAAATGTATTAATGTATATGACCATTGTTGTTTTAAAAGCTTGCTTATTGGGTATAATTAAAAGGCGAAAACATAATTTAATATATAAAATTATTAATTAAAGGGAAGTTGGTTGGGGTGTTCATTCAAAAATACAAAGTGAAAATAAATAAATGATATTTATTCTTATTTTTGCCGATGTTTCGCCTCAAAGTTTAGGCATTCATCAGGACTAAAAAAAAAAAAGATAACAATTGGTATGAGAAACTATTAACAGTTTCCCAAAGTTTAGTCTACATGTTATTACTTTATTTTCACTGTTAATAGTTTCTCATACCTATTGTAATCTTGTCTTTTCTTAGCCCTGATGAAGGCCTAAACTTTAGGCCAAAACATTGGCAAAAATAAAAATAAATATAATTCATTTATTTTTACTTAGTATTTTTGACTGAATACCCCAACCAATTTCTATTTCTTCAATTATTTACTACAGTCAACGGTCAATCCACTATTATAAAATTATTGGTATCAAATACAAAATAAATACAGACATCAAATTGTCCATCTTTGAAAGGGTTAAAATGTAAATTATTTAGTTAAGTTTTTTTTAACAATCAAGTAGTTTATTATGCCAAATACATAGTATTGGCAAAATAAATTTCAACTTTTTTTTAGATTATAAATTATATTTTATAATCATATTCATGATTTTAAAATTTAATTGATTGAATTCAGTTTTCATGAATCAAATTTATTTTTCGATGATTAATCGAAAGTTATTCAACACAGTCATATGTTACATTTAAATCATTATTTAATTGTAAACAAATGAAAATCTATTTTTTGCTATGCTAGTTTTTCTTAATTTTTAGTAACAATTATTGATTCATTGTTGTTTATTAGGATTTATATTTTCAATTAACTAATCACCAAAACATGCCGGATTACAAATCTAGTAACTATACATTTGCTAGAATAAAAGAATACATGAAAGAATTAGTTAATGCAATTGATATGTTAAATTATGAGGCTATGGAGGCCTCTTTTCAAAAAAGAAATATAATGGAATGTATGTTCAGAGAAATAAATAAACTTTATAGCCATTTTGATTCCAATCGAAATAGAATTAGATATATAAACAGGTCTATAATTCCAAACATATTGAAACAAGTAAGCAAAATAAGTGAAAGATGTAAAAATGACAAAATGAAAGTTCTCTACATACGTCACTGCATGATTTCTCCTATCTTTAATGAAGTGGTTTATTTATATAATTTGTGTGAATCAAAACCTTTTGATTTTGAAATTAGGTTTATTGAACAGTTTGTGATTCCTAAATGCCTCAAAATATTTATTGTACTTTATAGAACTTTTGGAGAATACAGTATAGATAGTTCAGCATTAAAAGCAGATAGATTACTGGTTATGAAAGATTGTGATTATCATGGCCATTTATCATATTCCAAAACAGCACAGTTCTATTTCTTTGTTCCTCACATAAGAAAAAAACCTAAAGATTATGTAGATCCTGTTTGTGGTCCAGAGGAGAAAAGACTTCTATTCGGAGGAAATTTTTTTGCATCATGCCTTGATGGATTCCATATTTTACATTTTATGAGTAATTTCCAACTTGAAAAGTCAGAAATAATTACCTTACATTATGTTAAAAGTGTTGCTTTATATATTGCTCTCATTAAAATTCCTGTGGCATTTATTCATTTTTTTTTCACAGAAACAGTTGATAATTTTCTTAGAGCACTTTTAGTTTATTTTCAATACTATTTGCAAATGTGGGAAGTAGCGAAAAAGAGAGCCGAATTGAGAAAAATAAAGCTTCCTCATACAAATTCAGAGTATTATGAGTCAATATGGCAGAACAACTTGAATGACTTGAGATATTTTATAGCTCGTAATTATGCAGCAATTGTATTAGGAATTAAGGACCTGATTAATTTTCATCACATGAATTCACCAAAAGGTATAAATACAACTACAGACTATCTTCTGTATGAGCTACTGTACGATTTTGCAACAAAAATAGTTATGTTTGTCTTAAATATAGAAGATATTCCAGAAAAAAACAGTGTCATACAAAATGAGATCAATCGGCTCTTCAGGGAAAAGTTTGAAGGCCATGACAAATATTTTATAAATATTGAAGAACATGAACGCAGAATTTTGGAAGGAAAATTTCGTAATCCTAGGGAGTGGTGTAGCAGTACTCCATGCCTTACAGAGATAAAACGCCCAGGAAGAGATGAAAGGATTTACCATGTTGGTACAACTGTAATAAAAACAAGAAATTTGAGATTACGTATTTTACAAACAGCTTTACTTATTTCAGATGAGAATTTAAAAAAGGCAAATATGCAAATTGGAATTTTAGGTAAACCAAAAAAAGATTATCCGCCTCTTTTAACTTGTTATGAAATTAGCCGAAATGAAGACAAGAATGTAATGGCAAGAAAAAAAGAAACAGAAAAGAATAAAATGAAAAAAAATCAAAATGATCCTTCTGTTGTGGGAGAGACTACATCAAATAATGGAAGTAAAAACCAAAGTACTGAAGAATGTGATAAAAGTGTACTTTCTGATACTAAAAGAAGTATTGAGAGTAAAGTAAATAATAAGATATCATTAATAGAGGAAAGTGAAGCTCAAAGAAAAAGTTCTATGGATATGGATGAAATGGACGAAACTGATGAAAGTATAGATGAAACTAAAAATAAAACTAAAGATCTTGTTGCTATTGAACTTTTCACTTTATTATTAGCAATGAAAACTGAAAGAAGGAGGCAAAAGAAACAGAGAAGATTTGTTAAAAAAATGAAACGGCGTTTCGAAGCAGAAAATATTGTAGGAGGTGATGGAACATTTCTAGTATTAAAACAGTATCCCCATCAGCCTTACTGTCTCAGCTACAAATTACTAACCAAAACCAAAACATTTAATAGAGATGAAGCGGTTACACTATGGATGAAATACTTACCTTTAACTAAACGTTTTTTTTATCGAATAGATCCATATTCATCTATAGTAGATGATTATTTTGATGTCCAATAAAACAATTTTTATAAATATAATTTATTTATTTCCTAACTAAGGTATGAAAAACTGTTTTTTCAATCCTATATATTATTTCTAAAAGGTATTTTTTTGTTAGTACGCCATAACTTCATCAAATCCAATGATTGACCACTCATTTTAAAGATATTCTTCTCCTTCACATGCGAAAAATAGTCCCATCCCCTAGATATTTCTGGAAAAAAGTTATGGAGGAAAAGAAACTTTATTTTCCAATAACTCAAAAAGTATGCATTTTTTCTGTATTGTACCTATGGTAATTAGAAAGATTACTAAATTACCTACAAAACAAAAAAAAAATTGTAAAAATCGATTAGAAGTATGTAAAATTTAAACAATTTGTATTTACAGGAGTAAAGTGTGTTGAAATATTTTTTTAAGGAGGAAGAGAGTTGAGATATGTATTTCGCAGCTCGAAAGACCCTCGAATACGATAAACCCCCTTTGATTTTATTTTGAAAATCACAAAAAGTGTTATGACTTCAATATTCTTCCACATATTCACACAAAAATTTGCAGGGATGTAGAGCCTTATAAACTACACGAAATGACACAAACTGTACCTTCCTAAATAATTTAGAACTCAAGTTATAAAATAAAAACCTGTTAGAAGTTTTTATTTATTTACTCCTTATCGACGTGTGAAATCAAAAAGTTATTTATATGGTCTTGAAGAGCGATAATTCAGCTTTCCAACAGTTGTAGCAACATTGAATTAGGATAAAATCCTGAGGAGTTATGAATGTTTTAGTTAAAGGCAGGCAAAAACATCATAATGAAAAGTGAAGTCGTTGCCATGACCACTATTTCAGCACAGTTCTTCTATCCAATATATTATTTCTAAAAGGTATTTTTTTGTCGGTATGCCATAACTTCGTCAATTCTTCATCAAATCCAATGATTGGCCACTCATTTTGAAGATATTCTTCTCCTTCACATGCGAAAAATAGTTCCATCCCCCCAAAATTTCTGGAAAAAAAGTTATGGAGGAAAAGAAACTTTATTTGCGAATAACTCAAAAAGTATGCATATTTTTCTGAATTGTACCCATGGTAACTAGGAAGATTACTAAATTACCTACAAAAAAAAAAAAAAAAATCGTAAAAATTGGACAATTATTAACAAAGATACAGTCCATTAGTTTTGGTATACTTAATAATGTCTTCCTGTTTAAATATATTGCATTTAGGAGTGGAATAGTCTACTACACTTTTTTTCCTGACTTATATATTAATTTTATTATTTTTTAAAGACATTTAGTAGTTCTTACATTTTATTTTTTTTAATAATTTAGAAAATCCCATGATAGGGGAATTATTTTCCCTTTATTACTTTTATTATCTTTCCAGTCAGTGTTTAAAAATAGGTCTTGGCAAAGCTATTTGTACAAATATTTTGGCCTATTATGTTTAGTGGAATATTGTAATCGACCAAGGACAAAATATTAATTCCTTCCTTACATAATACAAACGAACTACTTATTTCCATATTGTTTTGCTATTTTTTCAGTAAACAAAATTTTCTGTAAATTATTCACACGGGCCAACTAGTTTTAATTTAAAATATTTTTTAATTTTAGGCGAAGTGCCTCTACCGAATTCTTTTAAGGAAGAATCCAGGCAAGCGCAGCTGAAAAGAATGATATCCTTCAAGACAAATCCTATAACAGGAATAGCTTCAAAGTGGGATTATGAATTAGATACATGGAAAAAGTAGATTAAACCTAGCCAGTTTTTTTTTTTTCCTTGATATACACTCTTACATAATTTATCACAATTATATATGTTTTGGTTACTAAATTTTGGTTAAGTTCTTATAAAAATTGTTACTTCATTTACTAATTATTTTTTTATTTAATGTATTATTTGTCCTCAATAAAAATATCTAATATGTACAGAGTAAATTGACAGCCAAATTGAAAAAGGCCTGCAAATGGAAAAACTACAAATATTTATGAAATGAGAAAACTGGTTGTTTTTTATTTTGATTAACAGGATTTTCTATTTAATTTTTATTGGATGCTGAAGATAAATGTATAAGCTTTTAGTTTATATTTCAGAATATGCTAAGATTGGACAGAAAAGTGCTAAACTGCACTTTTCAATGAAATTATTCTCACAGGCTCTTGCAGTGTGGCTATAAGTATCCCTTTCTGCATTAGTTATTTCAAATATATCTTTAAAACTTCCTGTTCATCAAATCCCTATTCCATTTCATAATCTAATAATAGGTTGCCAAAAGAACAAGTGACTCCCTTGCGTACATGTTCTAATGATATCTTCATATCTGAGGAAGCAAGTTGATTACTTAAGTTATTTAAAAGGTATGAAACGAATATTATTTCATAAATAAAGCCGGAACTTAAGGATGAAATAAAAAAAGTGTAAAAAATGTGAAGTTCACTTCAGCAAAACTTTATTGCTATTTAGAGATATTTATTGCTGTTTCACCCGGATCTTCGAAAATATCTACACGAAATGATACTAAAGAACTTTTTATAGGCTTTAGATATCATGATGTGCATTACAGTAAATGAACTAAAAAAATATTGATTATTAATACATGTACTATGTTTGAGCAGCTACAATCTTTTTTTTTTTTTCCCCCGAAACATGTGGAGTAATAATAATATGTGTTAGGTTTAGTATTTTTCCCAAATTATTTGACGAGCAATCATTAATGAATAAAAAATAGATCTAAACAACATAGATGCTGCTGCTGCTGAAAAGTGGTGGAAGGCTGGAGAAAGAACAGAAAATATCAAGCCAAAACGCCATATTTAGTAAAACAAAGAGCAAGTATATAAAAAAATTGAATATCAAAGAACTTATTAAGCTGCCAAATGAATTAGAAAAAAAGATTTTCAAGAAATTACATAAAAATAAAAAGATGATGAGAGGAGAAAACCTCATTAAAAAAATCAGATTGGGGAAGGAAAACCTTATAAACATTGTAACAGCTCACCAGTGAGGTAATATATTCAGCCTGAGGATGGCTAATGCTATGCTAAAACACGTAAATCATATTTTTGGTTCATCATTCATTTATTATTATGTTTCCTCCCCTTTCTTCAACTTTTTTTAATACAACACTCCATTTCCCATGTTTTTTATTATCCAATGAGGACCCTTTGAAAATCCTGATGCCTATTATGACTTTTTAGGACCACATTGTCAAATGAATAAAATCTTAAATCTGTGACAACATTTTTCTGCCTCATTTATCTCAGTAGGTATTATTCTTTTATTTTGTCAGTCTGAGGTTCAGTGGCTTACCTAGAAAGGGCTGTCTACCCATGCTGTATCATTATTTTATCTGTTTAGTACTTGTCCCAAATTTTTAATAGCTTTCGCAAGTTAGTTTATAGTTTGCTCCCGAAGTTAATATTTATTTATATGATTGAAAAAATATACTGTGGTCCTTCTTATGTTAGTCCTTAAATCCTAAATTTAAAATCTTCCATCTTATGAGTTAGAAAAAAAACTCAGAGGCTAACGGAGTAAACCCCAACACAAAATCCATTTCCTTCAGGGGGCTTGCGAGTAGGATTGAGTGACTAATCCCAATATCAATGGATTCATCAGGAATCGAAATAATTCATTAATTTTAGCAACAAGGAATGTCTGACAAGTGACTCAGTCAGACAGAGTCAGAAGAAACTTTTGGAGGTACAGTATTGATATAGATACAATACAACAGATAAAACAGAAATTATCTTAAGTTGTTGCCATTAACAAAACATCCAGTGCAAAAAGTTAATGATAAAAAAGAAAGTATTTACGGCTGGACTATAAACTAATTAATGATGGAATACATGCATAGAATGCCTACAAGGTAGACTTTTTAATATATCTATAATAGTGATGGTAGTTCGTTAACAAACTAGTTCACGAAAAGGAACGGAGAAGACCGGTCTTACTTTAGGTGAACTATAGTACCCGTGAATTATACACAAAAATAAAATTAGAGGAATTGTAGATGTTTTCTGTAGGAAATGTAAAGAGAAGGCCAAGGCCTACGGTCCTTAAACTGAAATAGGGATTAAAAAAAGGATTTGATTTCCTTGAAAATAATTTTTTATTCTCGTATTTTTAATATTAAGTAAGTTAAAATACTTAAACAGATGTCATAGACAGAATATTTTTGAAACATATTAATATTTCAAAGGATGAAGGCAGAAATGTTTTGTTCCTTCTAGTTTTTAAAATTATAAGTATGTACGAAAAATAGGTAATTAATTATGAATTTTATTAAATAATATCGATCAGAAGTCAATTATACAGATTTTTATTACTTGAAATATATTTAAGACTGAGTAGGTGATCTCACTGATCTAGTATGGTTCGTGTCACAATAGATGGCACCAGTTGTAGTTCATTTGAACTAGCTAGTTCACAGTTCACTTAGGAATCCCAAGACCTAAAGGAAATAATTTAGCTCTCTAGTTCGATGAACTAGCTAGTTCAGAAGATTAAAACCTCTCTCTTTTTTTTTTCTAGTTCAATAGGTCTCCAGTTTCAATTTAATGGCTTGAGCTTCATATCATTCTTCTGACTAGAAACAATTAATTACTTGTATTGTTGTTGTTATTGTCTTTTTCAATCTCAAAAGTCGTGGTCAGACTACTTTTGATAATTTAATATTTCATAGGATGATGACAGAAATGTTTAGTTCCTTTTAATTCTTAAAATTTTAAATACCCACCAAAAATAGTTAATAAGTTATAAATTTTATGTGAGAAGGTTTTATTAGATAAAATCAATCAGAAGTCAAATCCACAGATTGTGTTATATGGGAACAGTCATAGTTCACTTAGTGAACTACAACTTTTGCCATCTACTGTAACACAATGGTACTAGATCTTGTACCATATGTGTTACTTTAGATAGCGCTGAAATCTAAGTGAACTAATGAACTAGTTCAATAAGGTGAACTGAACTAAACAGATTACGTCCTTAAAAAGAATGATTGTACCCATCACTAGTCTATAATCAGTGTACAAGTGCCAATAGAAAATATCCAACAGTAAGATAAAGATAATTTTTATTTTTTCAGTAATTTTTTGCCTATAGGTCAGTATAATAAATACTATATTTAAACTAAATACATTATGAGTGGGAAAAAAACACCTTAAATTCAGTATCAGTTGGATATATTGATAGAATATCCACCTTAAAAATTTTACTGTCTTTGCAGTAAATAAAAAGTGTAAATTATGTAAGGCTCCTAGGCCTTTTCAGCTACTACTTAACGACCTACCTAAATCAATTCTCCATTGTTCCCACCACCTTTATGCAGACGATTTACAGATGTACATATCATTTTCCCCTCCTGAGTTACTGGGGGCATTTGCCAAGATCCAAGAAGACCTAGATCAAATCAGTGCTTGGGCAAATGTAAATGGATTAAGGTTGAATGCTGCCAAAACTCAGGCCATTGTCAATGCTTCCAAGCCCCTTCTTAGATCCCATACAGACTTTTCCATCCTTCACCTTAATGACCAGCCAATCTCCTTCTACTCCTCTATTAAAAATTTAGGATTTTCATTGATCAAAACCTCTTTTGGAATCACCATATTTCTCATATCCCTCGACAGACAATTTCCACCCTCAAACTATTCCATCGCCTACCTCAACATACACCTAGACTCCTAGTTTCCTTTCTCATTTTCCCCCACTTTGACTATAGCTGTGTGGCGTATGATGGCCTCTCTGTGGAGCTCCGCGATAGACTGAAAAGACTAATGAACAGCTGCGTAAGATTTGTGATCGGGGCCCCAAGATACTCCCATGTTTCTCACCACTACGCTGAGTTAAAGTGGCTTTTCCCCTCCTTCCAAAGACAATATTTCCTAGGTACGTTCCTCTACCAAATCATCAACAAACATCGTCCTTCTTGCGCCTTCAACCTTCTCCAGTTCAAATCCTCAGTCCATTCCCTGTCCTCAAGATCTTGACCTTCTAACCTTTACATGCCTTCTCACAGATCTGCGTCATTCCAAAATTCCTTTATTGTTCGCTCTGTCAATTTCTGGAATTCCCTCCCTATCAAAATTCGACATTCCCCATCCATATTCACATTCAAAACCCTTCTATTCCAATTCCTATCCCAAAAACAGTCAGATAGTTGCTAACCATTCGAGGTGATTTTAATAGAGAATTTGATATATTTTTATTTTTTAATTCTTTATTATTTTCTTAAGAGTGTATACTATCAGTGCAAATAGCTTTAAGTGTCTTGTCATAGTATTAATTGTTTTTGCAAATAGTTTCATTTGTTTTGTATATAGAATGTTTACCTTATATTTTCTTTACATTTTTTTTTTTTTTTCGATTGATTTTATTTTGGCCAGATGTAATCTTTTTATTTTGTTATTCTTAAGGGACTGTGTCCCAGAATAAAAGTATTTTTCTATTCTATTCTATTCTAAGGCATAAAGACACATAGGTATAACAAATTTCACAAGGATTCTTTGTTTTTCAAATAAGTACAATAAAATATACATTAAGTTCACATTTTATTATCTATAGTATTATTATTGTTATTGTAATCAGCAAAGTAATAATAAAAAATGATTTACTTAAAACTCTGAATTTTTTTATATAAAATAACTTTATCAGCATTTAATAAAACTGAATGACTAGTATTGGTTATCCAACTAGGAGACATGTTTTCCCACTTTCTTAAAGATTGAGGAATAGACAACTTATCTAAAAGTAACGATGAAATCTGTGGAATTATGGGCAACAAAGCTATTCCACATATTCTTAAAGTTTCCATCGTCAAATGAAGAACAAATTCTAAATGTTCACTGGAATTAACACATTTTCTTAATTGCCAAGGTTTACTCTCTTCAAAGAACTTATTAGCGAGGTGTAGGCTTGATATTATTAGGTTGATTCCACGATAGAAATTAAAGTCTGTGTAATGGCTTTTAACTTCATCTGAAAAAAAAAAAAGAAAATACTATTGCAGTAACAATTAAATTATATTAAAAAGAATATATATAAGTATAAATAACAAATTTGTTACTTATTATACCTTGAAGCATATTTACTGATGATATTAAATCATTAGCAGCATCTTTAGAATATTTTTCAAAGGATGACTCATTAAATTTAGGAAATTCTTGTTTCTCATTGATTGTCGGTGCACAACATCTGTTTAACAAATTCCCGAGGGTATCAGCTAATTCAGAATTCAAAATTCTTAGTGCTTTTGTTTCACTATAGTCTGAAATATTAGTTATAAATAGTTATTACTATTTGTTTATTTCTTATTTATATACTTAGGAATATCTATATCAAAATAAGTAAGTATACTACCTACTACTCTACCCCAATGGTCTACCTATTCGTATCCATACTTCAGATATCAGATCAGAAATCTTGGAGTAATTTTTGATTCAATACCTGTCCTGGAATAATCATGTTACCCAAATTAACCAAAAATCTATTGCTACCCTAAAACAGTTCCTGAGATCCTATGATTCTATACCCCTAAAACCCCGCCAACTCCTAATTTCCTCACTTCGATTATGGCTGCCTTGTATAAGATGGACTGTCTGGTGGGCTGGAGATCAGATTGAAAAGATTAATGAATTGTTTCATTCGATTCGTCCTTGGAGTCCCCAGGTGCTCCCACGTCCCCAGTTGGTATGCCGGGTTGAAGTAGCTTTATCCAGATTTCTGGCAGCAATATTTCCTAGGTATATTCCTTTTCCGAACCTATACAACCAAAAAGCCATCTTACCTTCTTGATTCATTAAATCCTTGTTCCTCTGTTCATTTGTTTAACATGAGATCCCAGTTCATAAACCTGTTTGTTCCCTCTCATAGAACCGTTTTCTTTAAAAACTTCTTTATCATGGGTGCTACCTATTTTTGGAATTCCCTACCTATCTCTATACGCAAATCCTCTTCATTAACCTCATTTATTTTTCCACCTACTTAGCAATCAATCTTCCGAATAAAAGTAAGAATAAAATTTTGTATTAAAGAGCTGTCACCCTCATTTGAGTTACTTATATATCAATATTGTTAATCAGAACAAATATGTGAACACACTCATTCATATTTATGTACAAATTAATATGTTTGCTTGTACTTAATTTATTTTAATCATAAGGTTAGATTATTATGTTATGTTAGCTAATTTTTTTATTTTCTCATAATGCCAGAAACTAGTCATCCATCTTTTTGTTCATAATAATTATTCTTAGGGGACTAAATATCCCAGAGTAAAATTAATTTTTTTTCTTCTTCTTCTATGTATAAATTTTTCCATGTTAGAATCCACTACAATGAATAAATTACACTACTTTAATCATAATCATAACTTTAATGATCATAATTTCAATCCAGAAGACTTCTTTTTCTCCCAAACTACGATGAAGATGTGTGCTACGATGAATTACTTTCCACTATCCTAAAATCCCACACTAATGATTATGGTCCTGATAATATTCCAGTGAAACTAATAAAATCCAGCCTTCCTGTCCTTATTTCAGTTCTTTACCATATCTTCAACTTTTCATTGCAAAACTCCATATTCCCATCCTCCTGGAAAACTGCCCTCGTCCAACCTTTGAATAAAAGTTCCAACCCTACCTCATTGCACGACTTCCGACCTATTTCTATCGTTTCCAACCTTTCAAAGCCGTTAGAACGCCTTGTCCAAAATCAACTCTCCAACTTCCTAGAGGAACGTTCCCTTATCAACCCATTCCAATCTGGCTTTCAACCTGGTTGCTCAACGCAATCCGCTCTCCTTAAAATAACCTATGACCTCCAAAACTTCATTGAACACCAAAACCTTACTATCCTCATCCTTCTAGATTTTCCAAAGTGTTTGACCATAATATCCTCCTCATTATATTGCTCTATCTAACAGTACCCTACATTGGTTCAAATCCTTCCTTTCAAATCGGTTCCCATATGTAGTCGTCCCAGGTCAACCTCCATCTACGACCCTTCCCCTAAACGTTAGATAAATTATTTTGTACGATTCATCTTCTGGATCCCAGGGGACACCTCTGTTTCCCGTTTTTATGCAGAGCTGAAGTGGCTTTATCCTTCCTACCGTCGTAAGTATTTCCTGGCATCCTACCTCTTTCAAGTTATTCAATCCCAATGCTCTTCATACACCTCCGAACTCCTTCACTTCAAATCCTCTGTTCGTTCCCCGTCTTCTGATTTATACATTAGAGCCCACCGAACAGTTGCTTTCGACAGATCGTTCATTATCTGATGGAACTCCCTCCATCCCTTCCCACATCCTCCAATCCAATAACCTTCGTACCTTTAAATCCTGCCTGTTCAATCATTTCTTATCCATCCAGTCCCCATAAAATTGTAAATAATAATATGAGAAGGAGTTGATCGGGGGGTGCGGTCGAATAAATACTAAATTATACAAATCGTATTATTTAATTTTGTGGGTTGAAACGTCGGCAAAAATTAAATAATACTATTTATATAATTTAGTATATATTTGATTGCACCCCACGATCAACTCCTTCTCATATTATTATTATTATTACTTCTTATAGTACAGATAAGCTATTCTTATAGTTCGTTTTAATTTATTCTATTTAAAGAACTATAGTATTGAACAAACAATTAAATAGTTACTTATGCTAAAGTTCTTAAAATGAAAACAAATTAAATTATTAACCTTTAAGATGATTTGTTATAAGAAATTTAAAAAAACATATATAAATAAAAAAATATCAATAAACCATACTACTATCTGAATGTGGAGTTCCTTCTCTAAGTAAAAAATAACGAAGACCAGAAGAAGTAAATAATTTGCTGGCTTCAAATGGACATACTACATTCCCTTTTGATTTTGACATTTTTTCTCCGTCAACAGTCCAGTGAGAATGCACTAGTAACATTTTAGGAGGTTCTAAATCACATGCCATCAAAAATGCTGGCCAATATATTCCATGAAATCTAAAATTTCAAATACAAAGATCTATTAAATCAGTGTAAACAGTTAAATCTTAAATGTATACAATAGTTCCTTAAAAAATAACAAAAAAGAAAAAGAAAAATTTAAATAAATTTTGTGTAATTGACACTTGCATTGTTTAAAAAAAGCAGTCTGTAATCAATGTGTTTATTTTAAAAATCTATCTTCATATAAAATACGATAATTTATATAGATAGAAAAAAAAAAAAAAAAAAAGGAAATTGATTAGAAATTTGTAAATTAGAAACAATTTATTCAAAGATCTTGCTTGGAGACTGAAGGCGATAATTTATAAAACTATTATATGCCCAGTAGTCACCTATGAAAGCGAGATATAGGTCCTGATGCAGGATATGGAAAGGCGCCTAAGCTAATGGGAACGAGGAGTTCTCAGAAAAATATACAGACTAGTCTACTCTGAAGGAGACTGGGGAATTCAGAAGAACAATGAATTGAGAACACTATATGACCAGCCTGCTATTGTGGCCATGATAAAACAGGAAAGGTTAAGGTGGCTCAGGCACATGGAACAATCGCCTCCCAAAGCAATTATAATATGGAAAGCAAGGAGGTGCCCAACATGTGGACCTCCTAGCACGAGAAGATTGGACGACATTGAGGCAGATCTACGGCAGCTGGGAGTTGGAAGATGGAGAGCTGTTGTTGACAACAGAACCGCCTGGCAGGTTATCTGTGAGAAGGCCCATGCCATTGGAGGGCAGTAGTGCCAAAATAACAATATTAATTTTAATAAACAATGATAAATAACGATGATAATAATAAAAAATTAGTAACAAAATTTTGAATTATAAAGAGAACATGTTACTTTACAACATCTACTTAGTTCACTCCTCTTTTCCGAAACTTAAAAATTCCATTTTATAACACCATTATCCTCCTTACAGTTCTTTATGGGTTCGAAAAATGGTTGCTTAAATTGATGAATGGTGAATGTCTTAAGATTTTTTTATTTATTTAAAATAAATTATTGTGTAGAATTTTCGAACACAAGGATGCGTAAGGATAGACTGAATACTAGTAGGGTTAGATTTGTACTACGGCCGGTGGAGATAAGAAAAGACATCAGAGAGTATTGGTATCGAATCTTTGGGTTCGCTATATCTTTTGTTAATTTAACATTACTATGTTTTACAATTCTTACTCATTTATAGAATACATATTATATATAAGTTCTTTAAATTTCTGTATAAAGAGCTCAAGGAGAGTTATTTGGTTTAAGTAGACTGATGATGTTGCAGACTGATGATGACCCACAAATTTGAATCAATATGTCGACAACCGTAATAAACATTCAGATAAAAAATCCAATTATTTATCATCTAAAATAATTTTCAAAACAGTCACTGAAAATCAACCTCTAAATCATTGATTGCTAAAATAACTTACTTAATAATGTCTTTGCCTAACACTTGTGCTGATGGTGGCCATATGCACATATCAGGATAATTTACTGCAGTCAAATAATTAGCAAGAGCATCTAACCAAACATAAATAGTTTGTGTTTCATCATTTGGTACAGGAATACCCCAGTGAACTCTTTCAGAAGGTCTTGAAACTGATATATCATTAGACATAACACCTTCATCAATCCATTTAAAAAGTTGTCTTTTGAATTTCTCTGGACGAACTGAGTCTTCTGAAAAAAAAAACAGCAATACAATTTTTTTAAAATTAAAAATATAAATTCAATCATTAACATTATTTATTACTTTATCAGTACTAAGATGGTAGCCAGATTATAAAAATGTATGCTGTTTAGTCATATATGACTCATCACAATAATAGGTCTATTCCAACATGAGTTTTGACAATCAGCAAAACATCAGCTGCAAGTGTCGTACAGTTTTAGGATGGAAGAACCGTGCAGGCTTTTGACAATTTGCTGATAGTTAAAACTTGTGTTGCAATAGACCTATTATTTTGGCTATACAATTACACAATCAGAGCAGAAACTTAGGAACCTAAATGATATTCAAATATAACTACAATATTTGGTATCACTCAAGAATTTAACCTGAAAAAAATATCATAAGAAATTCTGGGGAATTGAACTGGTCGGAGTGTAGCAATGATGCTTCTTCTTACACCACAAAGAAAACCAATTTTTATAATATGGCATAGACATTTTATGCAATCATAAATCTATGATCACAGAGAATAAATTGGTAAATTGAAAAATGGCTCTGTACGTTGCGTGTTTTATAATCTTCTCCCAGGCTTTTTACCCATTGTGAAGATGTTGGTAACTCAAAAATAAATATCTTTCCAAGTCACAGAAGAAAATGCGAGTTAACTGCTGATTCACAGTGAGTAGAAAGCTAGGAAGATTATCATAATATATCACTTGCTGGATCAAAATTGACTTAAAATATCATAAAAATGATCATAAATTCACCTTTTTCCAACCATCTTCGAACATCATCCTGAAACAAAGTGAGCTTGAATTTATAATTTTCTTCTTCAACCCAGTGTACTGGCCTTCCAGAATCAGCACAAATGGGAATTTCTTTTCCATCTGAAACAATTTTTGTGACTTGGTTTTCAGGAACAAAAGCTTCATCTGCATCACAATACCACCCAGAATAACTTCCATGATAAATATAACCTTTATGACTCAATGCATTCTAAAAATCATAAAAAGTATGTACTGGGGAATAGATGTAAATATAATAATCTAGTTATGGTACCTACCCAGAATTTCTGAACAGTATATTTATGTTTAGGGTCTGAAGTTCTTATATAGTTTGAATAGTTTATGTCACAATCTTTGAATAATTTTTTGAATTTCGAGGATATACTTTGACAATATATTGGAAGTGGAGTATTGGAAGAGGCAGCTGCTTGTTGGATTTTTGTGCCATGCTCATCAGTTCCAGTGCTGAATGTAGATTTGTATCCCAAAATAGTATTAAATCTATGAGCAGCATCAGCAATGACAGCAGAATATAAATGCCCAATGTGTGGAGCTTTAACAAAATTAAATAAACTTAACCAAAATAAGGAACATTAATTCTTTAGATTTTAACTTGGAAGAAAAAAACATCCCTACATGCATTTACATAAAATATTGGAGTAGAAATAAAAAATTCACTTTTTGTTCTGAAAGGGATTAGTAAAAAATCAAATGGTACTAATCTTAGCCGTGCTTTCATGATCATCAATAAAATCTAGTATTGTAATATAAAATATTAAGTATCTTTAAACAAATAATAGGACTTAATGGGTGAAATTATCAATGAATATTTTCAAATAATGAAAGCTATTGAGATAGGGTAACCAGCTATTACCTCCTTTAGTTGCAAAACATTAATTTTTTGTTTGTTATTTAATTGATGTAATAAAAAGTTAGTCAAACTACATGTTAAGAGACCACTTATTAAAATATAAAACTATGCAAATGGGTTTTAGAGAATTTAAAATTTTAAAGGAAATTTAAATTTAACAAAAGGAAGATTCGACATCATCGATGAGCACAGTGCTGATTTTGGGAACTTGCTCATTGATTACATTTATCGTGTAGGTTATGAATAGTAGTCTTCTTGGTGGTTTCATTTGACGAGAACGAGATAAATTACAATTTATATAAAAGTATTTGTTTCTCGTTTAAAACAAGTTTAATCCAAATTAAGAGTATGAGCTCCCAACATTTTGGAAGACATTAGTTTTTTATTGGAATTATATTAGTATCGTATTTGTTAAATCTTCATAAGGTACGGACTCCAAGTACTAAATTATATGTATGCAAATATATATACATTATATTTACTCCTGATAAAAATTAGCTCCCTATCTTATTTTATAAGAAATATATTTTATTGAACTATAGCGATCTTTTGATGTTTATACTCAATTTAAAAAGATGTTTGCACTGTTTCATCAAATCCTTAATAGATGAATATTCACAATTTATATTTTGAATTAATTATGTATACATTTTTGTAATGTCAAAATGTTCTCCTCTACCAATGTGATATTTAACTAGTGTGTTTTGATGCTATTTAATTGGTAAACCCATAGATGTTTTAATTGTAATCATTTTTGACAATTTAAAACTGATTAAAAAATAATAAGTTATGTCATTTCTTTAATTTATTCTTTATGCTCAAAGCATCATTTATGATTATAAACCATTGGGTATAATTTATATATATTTTTTATTACTATATATTTCATTGTTTTTAATAGCTGAATAATTCTAATCATTAACTGGTTTCTGAAGGAGATAGCCACTACTTTCCTTGACATTGACAGGGTTAATGGTGCCGTTTTCTTTCAGAAAGAATTTCCACTGTTTTAAAATTTATAAGATGTTTTATGACAGAAAAAAATAATAAACGTGTAGGGGATTCTCTTGTATGTAGTTTATTGACAAGAATATTGTCTATAACTAATTATTCAATTAGTTTGAGAATTTCTAGTGAACAAAAAAGAAGAAAATATAAACTTAACATCATATTTATTTTGCAACCTCCACAAACAGCTCACTATAAAAACTGAGCAATGTATTTTTCTCTTAAAATGTCGATCAAACAAAATCTTCCCCAAATGTATTGAGTACCGATTTAATAATTTCCATGTTGCCCCCTCATTAAAATTCAATTTACAAAATTCTTTATTTAATTTCAAAAAAAGTTTGTTAAATTTAAAAATAAGAGAGATTATACAGGAATTAGATTCTCTTAATTCAAAAATTTCCTCCCTCACCACATTTCTCACATCGGTTATAGGTGAAGAAAATATCATTAAAAAGTACAAGATTTCGAGTTCTAAGTGAAACTCCTAGAGGAACACACCTCCCTGATGAAGACCTGCAAAGTCGGGTCGAAACGTTGGCTTTCAATAAAATAGTTTTACCACTATTTAGCCTTTTTATGACCGCAACCCCGGACCATCTCCTTCCTTTGTAATTTATTTCATATCAAGGTTGCTAAATTCCATAATAACATATAAACTAATTTTAATTTGCTATCTAACTGTATAACTTATTATTAAAATTAAACTAATAAATTATAAGCGGTTTTAAATGTTTTGATTTTCATTTCTTTTTCCCGCCATAAATTGTTTATTAAAATTGTTATGCATTTTGTATTATTTCCTCTAGCTCTTTTTACATTCATGGTTAAACTTAATTTTCCTCTATTTCAATTTGAAAATAACGTTGGTATAATTTGATGGGAGGTTTATCTCTCTCTTGTCTGTATTTATTTTTCCATTAAAAAATAAATAATAGGAAAAATATGTTTAGTGAATATCAAATACAATTACAAATCAATCCCACCAGGTTACTTAATAACAATTCTATTGAAATAACTAAAATGGCAAAAATTGATTTAACAGACAAAATTAAACTAAAGGTTTGGTCAAACAGACTGGAGGCATATGTATTACAACATAATAGTGGATGAAAATCGTCAAACTCCTGTCTTTTTTTATTTATTTCATGCACCCATTTTCTTTTAAATCTAGCTTTACTCAAAGCCAACATAAGGAGCTTTTCTTCTTTGTCAGAGGAGCTGCTGAACATGTTGAGTTTAAAACACACACAATGCCCACATTTTTGGTAGCAAGTTATCATACTGTTTCATCTTGTCCACATTATGTCTGATTAACCTAACTTGCTTGACTGAAGTCATTTTAGCCCTGCGTACATTCTGCATCCTGTTGGACCCTACCTTTAATTTTATATCTGTTTTCTAGAATCATTTGATTAACGAAAAAGATATGTGAGGAACCAAAACACGTTAGAGGTATTTTGTATCTTTATTTTTTAGAAAATGTTTCTTGGATAAGTTTAGATTTTTTAATATGTTTATAATTATATGTAATAAAGTTTTATTTAATTCACAGGTAATCTACATTTTGAAATATGTCTATCACTCTGCAGATTGGTCAAAGGGTTGAAGTGACTGGAAAGAATGTCCAAGGGGAAGTTGCTTATGTTGGATCAACATTGTTTGCTTCTGGAAAATGGATAGGAATAATTCTAGATGAACCCAAGGGAAAAAATAATGGAACAATTCAAGGGAAAACATATTTTCATGTAAGTTTAAATGTTTTCAATTTAAATAATTCTTTTCAGTGCTTTGGTTACTGATTGTTACTTTTTTAGTGCAAAGATAACTATGGCATGTTTGTTCGTCAGTCCCAGTTGACTTTACTTACTGATACTGGCAGTAGAATAGATTTATCAACATCTACATCCTCTCTTGATGAATCAGTTAAGACTCCAAAAACAAGACTAACAAGGTAATTTGATTTGATTTTCTAAAAATGAAAGAAAAATATTGTTAAATATATTTGGTGCATGCAAATTAATAATTTTACTATTCATTTTGAATGTTTGAAGTATTCTTCATGTGGTTCAATTTATAATGCAATAGTGTATATATATTCATTTTTTAAAAATTATTATTTAGGGATTTATGTGTATTTTTTTTTTTAAATGTTTAAGATATGTCCAAAAATTTAGTTGGCTAAAGATCTCAAAATTCTGCAAGGAATAATGAACCTATCTAATATGATGATGTAATAGAAATTGTAATTATTTTGATTAAAAAATTATTTAGATTAGAAATTATGTGGAACTTAGGTTGAATCAATAAATCATTGATCGAAAATCCTCACTTTAAGCAATATTAGAAAAATATTTAAATATCTATGTTTATAGCTCCTATCAGTAGAACATTGATCACCAGTGGCCTTGTATGTTGGATCGGTCGATGGAGCGATTTTATTATCCATGCTTGGATAATACAAATAGTCTATTTGTGTTTGGTTTGAATGTGGACAGGATTATTTAAAAGTATCATTATACCTCTAGGCAGTGGCCAAGCTATACTATGGTATTATGTCTCTGTAATATTAAAGTAATTTTATTCTTTGAAAACATTGAAAAATTATTATATATAAATTAATGACATCTGTAGGAAACAAAATTTAAGATGAAGTAAAACTGGAATTATTATATTCTGAAGGAGCAAATTATTAATCCAATTACTATTAATATTGTGCAAGAATGTTAAAATTTAGTCTAGGCGAATAGGCTGCTGTGTTTATTAAGAGAATAATACTTAGTTTTCTGAAATAAAAATTTCTAAATTGTTCAAAAATTATTAATTAATTAGTTATTAACATTCTCATACTCCTGCTAAGGTGAACATTTTTTCATGGAGATGCTTGATGCTCATTGCAGGAACAGTGAGGAGGTAATAATGTTCTTATATAGTTTAGTAAATCTGGATATTGAAACATATTGGATATCTGGAAAGAACATTTCCAGGAACTTCTCCATCAAGGGGATCCCACAAACGAAGAAGTTATGGACAACGCTGAGGACCTTGTCCCTGAAGAGATTAAAAAAACAGATATACTGGATTTAGAAATAGCTATTGAAAGGTTCAAAACAAGAAAGGCTCCAGGGATAGACAATCTACTATCAGAACTGTTTAAAGATGGAGGAGACGACTTTATAGCTAAGCTACTAAAACTAATCCAGAAAATATGGGAAGAAGGAAGGATATCTGAGGCTTGGAATACGGGCCTAATTTGTTCTATCCTAAAGGAAGGCTCCATGTATGAGTGTAGTAATTACAGAAGCATAGCACTTCTTCCGGTTGCCTACGAAATAATGACCAATATCCTGCTAAACCATATTACGAGAATATAATAGGCGACCTCCAATCTGGATTCAGAAAAGAGAGGAGCACACTAGACCAGATCTTCATCTTAAAATAAGGAACTGAAAAACAATGGGTAATAGCTAAGAATGTCCACACTCTATTTATCGATTTCTATTGCAGCCTATGATTCTGTGGACATGAACTGTCTTTGGAGAATCATGACTAAACTGGGAGTTCCAGGTAAGTTGGTGAGATTGACAAAGGCTTGTACAAATTACCCCAAATGTAGAGTTCTAATACTAGCAGAAGTATGTCAAGCCTTCAAAGTTCAAACGGGCCTAAGGCAGGGAGATGGACTATCACCGATATTGTTCAACTTAGCTCTGGAGAAGGTAGTAAGAACAACATCACAGGAAAATGCATGCGTCCATGTCGGAATGAATCATAAAATCCATGGGTACACAGATAATATAGCTATCCTTGGAAGTAATCAAGAGGACATTGAGAAACTCACTACGACTCTGATAAGAGAGGCAGAGCAGATCGGCCTATAAGTAAATGAAGACAAAACAAAATATATGATAATAAGCCGAAAATTCCAGCCCAATAACAGGATTTGCGTTGAAGGAAAATCATTCCCGAGAGTAGTAAAATTCAAA